CGGCTCACCTAATAGGTCTTAAATAAAGGTAGCCAATTTAACCCTTACCATGCTGTGATCAATTATACCACCCCTATCGGCAAACCATTCCATACATCCACTACACACATCACATAAGTTAACCATATTTTGACAACGGAAATATTGACAATATTTTTACAAGGAACGATGAATCATGCACACTAGGCATGACAATATAGTTTGTGTCTTTGATTTATTTGGGATAGTCTAGGCACTCGTGCTAAGTGAGTCACTGCAAATACCAACATAGCAGTTCTTGTGTTCGTAAAAAAATTGACAAATTGTGAATATTAAGGTTAGGAGTATCACATAGCACATAGCATTTTTTTTATTTTATACTATATTAGAGTTCTGAGTACCTGGTCCTTTCTTACCACAGTATAAATTGGGATGATTTTCCTTAGTGTGTCAACTGACCTGTACTTACAGCTAAAGAGTAACATTTTGAAATGATAGCATTAAATTAGAATGTGTTGTTCATTAAATTCTTCCAATGGGCAGCAAGGAGTAAAGGCAAAAGAATGTACATGTGAGATTTAGATGTTGAGTTTAATTGGCATGAGGCGTGAAGGGCCTGCAATGTTCGTTCACATTCCCTGGATTTTCTGTCCGACACATTCAGACTCCGAATGCTCGTTGCTAGTAGGTTCTATTTTAGAATGTACTCATTGTTTGGATGCTTTGGACACAGCTGGCATGAATCAATAACATATTGCATGCGGAAACCCAGTGCTTGTGTGTATTGGGCACTAAATAATACTTTGTGCACTTTGTTCTCATTAGAACACAAACCTCTAATGACAGATTGGATTTGAAAATGGGAATAAGATACAGAGTGCAATCTCCATGATTTCTATACATGATACCTCTCTGGGATGAATCATGACAATTATCTTACCATCATACTCGGAAGAATTCCAATAAATGTGTAGCTTCCCTTGAATTAGCCATGCAAACCTCCATGATGTCACTGTCTTTTTTTTTTTTTAAATCTGGGAGGCTGGGAGAATTAAGAACTATGAAAGATAAAAACCATACCTCTATACTTTACCCCTAGAATAAATGTGTTTGTATACTGTCATTTAAACATTTTCTTGCACCAGAAGAACTCCAATAGATTAATGTGTCACACCTTTTTTATTCAAATCCCATTACTCTTTTGAGTGATAGAGATGAATCACATGTAATTTGCTATGTCTACATAGTATATTTCCAAATCTATTAAACGTAGTTATATGTTGACCAATTCTCTTTTCTTGTTTATTGGCCATACCACGAATATCTATGTGGGGTTAATCTGGCAAGTTTACATCATTCCCAACCCAAGATTTAAAGCATCTTCTAGATTTCCTTAGCACCATGAAAACAATTAAAAATTTATTTATTACACATAAAATGATTGACTTCAAATATGTCAAGATTAGTGTTCAGTGACACAAGAAGGTTAGCACAATATAAAGACTTAGGTGCTAGTGAAACCCTTTAAAGTTAACATCCTACAAATGTAGAAGTGAAGAATAACATTTCATACGTCAATTATAGAGAGACTGTCTCTGTGATGGGCTCCTCTGAGCAATTCTAGAGGATGTGGATCTCGCTCCTCGTAGTATATCTGACCACAACTAATCTGCAATCACCTCTTTTACTGGAAAGCATACATCAGTTTTCTTAATTGTCCTTTAATCAGACATCCCTTTTTCCCTCCCACCTAACTCTTTTTGTCTCTGTCTTTCTTCCTAATCCGTTCCTCATTCTGTACCCTCTACATTTAGTACTGTTGGGTTTCCAGACAGTTTCCTCGATCTTCCGGCATCATGTAAATGGTTATGATGTAACAACTAACCTTTTAAATGGAAATTTATGATATAACAACTAACCTTTTAAATGGAAACTCTGCTAAAAAAAATTCTAACAACAATTGCAGAAAAATGAGTTTGGCAGCATCAGAACGCTATTTATAATGAGACATTTGCAACATCTGTGTTCTTAAGCCATAGAGACATAAATTTTAAGATTCGAAATGTACACGAAGTAAAAATTCCAGGGGTGTGCACTGGGTTGATACAATGTTGCGTTGCATGTTGGTGTTCTTTGCCATCACAGGTCTTGCTAATCTACTGTACCTTTAAAATTGTGTATGCTATCTGTCGGACACCAAATAATATTTATTATTTTTCAATAAGAGTATTTTCACCTGAAAACTAGTGAACCCCTGACCCTAAAATATATATGTATGTATCTCCTGTATATGATAATGTGATGATGAATATATTTGGTAGATTGGGAGATCACATTTCTGTATTTCAGTGACCCATGAATCTATATTTCAGAGGAAGTAGGCTCTGGTTACTCATGGAGCTACAGCTGCTGAGTAAGCTTTTAACCAAGAACTTTCATTTCATAATCCAGAATTAGTCATCTATAAAAGTGAAGCCAAGAACTGATGGAACTTTACGTGTATAGGGGCTCACCAGCTCCCCAGGGCAGGGCTGTGACTTTACCTTTTCCTGTAAAATAACCATAATAAAGGGAACATTGCGTCAATCACCATAAATCTACATTCTCTGCAGTAATCAACATTAGTCAAATATTTCTGTATTAGGAAGTACGAGGGAGGATAACTAGTAAATTGTATGCTGTAGCTGCTATGAAGCTTGTTCCATAAAATAATTATAATATTGCACAACTCACATTTACCAGTTTATGTGCATGCATCCATCAAGCTTTAGACTCAAGTAATTGACTTAAGTCAACAGGATCATTAGACATTTTACCGCTATCCCATTGATCCACTACAAGTAGTAAGCACTATTGCTCTGCCTGCTTAAAATTGGGCACAATAAAAATCTTCTCAATGGATTATTATGGTGTTTTATCTTCTTAACATCTGCGCTTCCTTTCAGTATATATAATTCAAAGTGTATGAGGAAAAAAAAACTAGCAGAACACAAAGTAGGCCTCTCTATGGAAAATTGCTGCAGTTATAATGTTTAGACATTGCACTTTTGTACATTTAAATGAAGCTCCTTAACCCCTTAAGGACACATGACATGTGTGACATGTCATGATTCCCTTTTATTCCAGAAGTTAAAACCCCTTTCAGCCATTTACCTTTCTCCAGCGCCGACTCCTTCAGTGCTGGGGAACTCTCCTCCCTCTGCCTACGTCAGCTCCGAATGCGCATGCGCGGCAAGAGATCCGCGCATTCAACCCGCCCATAGAAAAAGCAATACTCAATGCTTTCCTATGGATGTCCAGCGTCTTCTCACTGTGATTTTCACAGTGAGAATCGCGGTAGCGCCACTAGCAGCTGTCAGTGAGACAGCCACTAGAGGCTGGATTAACACTCAATGAAACATAGCAGTTTCTCTAAAACTGCTATGTTTTCTGCTGCAGGCTTAAAACTAGAGGGATCTGGCACCCAGACCACTTCATTGAGCTGAAGTGGTCTGGGTGCCTATAGTGGTCCTTTAACTGACCTAAGCGTCTGATATAGACTGTTCGTCTTGACAGCAAACGAGACGTGCCAAATTCTGTCAAGTTTAGATGCAGAGCCAAACACCACTGGAGTCAGTAGGGATTCAGCCCGGGGAAGCTGTGAGTGGTGAATTTACATATTGCTCACAGTGGTGTCAGCTAACTTCGGCTTTAAAGCCTATGGAATATACATGTGTGTTAAGCAGTGCTGGTTTGGAACTTACTTTATCCTAGGTTGCAATTTTGTCATATTGGCTGCACATATCATAATAAAATCTGATACATTTGAAAGAATTATCTCCATCAAAATGAGAATGACCTCCTGATTTTGGAAAATACTTGTCAGTAGGCATAATGGAGTTGCAGCCTCCTCATAGCACATGTCCTTCAGTGGGTTCATAATGATATTCTAGGACGTGATGATGGTAATTGTATGCATACATATAACAAAATTCTTTATTCATACTCATAACAAAATTTATATACGCCTAGCTTGGGAGCCCATGATTCATATTAACAGTGTACATTTGTGAAGATAGATGATAGACATACTTCTCTCCCACTGCACATTGGAGCTTTGCTTAGAGGCACTAATGGTGTTCAGGACATTATTTAATTATAGTGCAATTCTCTAAAGCATGGCGCACCCTGAAGGAAGTCACAGAGCAAACGGATTTGTTTGTGTTTGACAGAGAACTGTAGCCAAGGGTGTTATTAGTGACCAGGTGATGTCAGATCGTGAACATCAAGTATACACGGTAGGGAAAGGTGACAAAAATCAGAAAAGGCTTCATGTTGAATAACCATTATAAATTCAGCAGGAAACAGTGTGATGTTTATTTAATTTTCAATGAGTGCTCTTAATATTGAGTACAAAAATGAAAGCCCATCTTAAATATTGTTCAGACAGATATAAGTAATTTCATTTTAAAGCTGAGTTAGAAAACTGTTAGCAGTCATAATATCACATAAAATAGCCCAAAATACAGGGATTTATTTTCTGTTTTGGCCTCTGGCAGCCTGTCTATTTATGGCTTTTTTCTCAGTTTGTTAAACATGGTTACTTGCACACAAATTGCAACCACCAGTAACAATCCTTCCTTGTAAACTTCACTACTTTGGTAGGTCTCTTAAATATAAAACTTTCAAAGCAATGCTACATTTCATAAGAAAACGATCCATACAAGGTTAATTAATGTGAACTGGGATGGGATTTAAGAAAATCTATTGAAAACAATAATCTTGCAATATAACATGAGATGCTTGTCTTGCTTTTGGCAATCATACTTGACTTAAACAGGCTACACAGCAAATAAGACAGGTTGTGAAACAATATTTAGTGTTGTTTGTATCATATAGAAATGCTTCTGCTAATGTTGTATCAGTCTAAGCTTGCAAACGTCTGGTTTCTACCTCTTTATTTTTATTGTAAGGCTGTTGTACCAGATCATTAAAAATGCATTGCAATATAAACATTTAAAACATAACAGACAATAATTTAATTAAAACCCAATGCTGCCTCTTGCCAGCGAATAGCCAAGTTTGTTGCGGTTTCCGACAAATGACATGAACCCAACATATGTTTCAATCAAAAGAGGTTGGCTTAAGATCAGGACCCCATTGGCACGGCCTGGCACTGGAGTCTGGTCATGTGCGGACTGGACAGCTTTTACCAGGTTATCATGGAAACTCGACATCTGGTAAGAAGAGGAGAGTAAAAGAAAAACAATATTTAAAACGTCTTATCTCTTTCTATGTATGTATGTGTGTATATATATATATATATATATATATATAACATCCAAAGTAATGGCTGCACTCAATGGACTTCAAAAAAAAAAAAAAAAAAAGGTTTTATTTTTTCCTGATGAAAGTACCCCTACTTATTTTTTAAGATGTATTAATAAAAGCTAAGTATTATTTTAACAAATGTTCTTTTTGAAGTCCTTTGAGTGCGGCCATTACTTTGGATGTTGTAATTTTGCTAGACCAGCACCGGGCACTTTTGACTAACCAGGAGTGAAAGCCCTTTGAATTACTATAGGCACCCAGACCACTTCAGCTCATTGAGGTGGTTTGGGTGCACTGTCCTTTCCCCCTTAGTCCTGCAATGTAAAACATTGCATATTTTGAGATATGGCAATGTTTATATTCCAAGACTAAGACTGCCACTAGTGGCTGTCAATCAGTTAGCCACTAGAGGCACTTCCTGGTGGCTAGCCAAATTTTGGTCACCTACAGCTTTGCATTCCTTACACTATAGAACACCTTTAATTTATTTGCTTTTCACACATAACTTATCCATCTTGGATTTATTTTTGTTCAATAAATCATGACATAGTATAATATGTTTTGTGGTGTTCATCTGAGGTTGTATTTACCTAATTGTAAGACCCGCTAGGGAACAGATAATTGCTATTATGTCCTGATAGATAAAACTATAGACTTCAAAGAGGATGTACTTTCTTTTTCCCATGACTGCATCCAGTATGTCAGTGTATATGTGTGTGAATGTAGTGGTGTACATAGGTAGGGTGTCAGTATATGTGTAGATAAATCCATGGATGTTTATATAAATCTGTTTTCCATTTCACTTTCAGACACTTTCCTTTCCAATTATCTTTAGTTTTATTATGAAGTTCCTTCCTGTTTTATTACATACATGTGTGTGCATTTGATGTAGACACATAAGCACTAATGAACCGTGTTGTCATAGTAAAGACTCAAAATAAATTCTGAACTGATGAACAGAATTCTATTTATGGAATTTGTTTAATTTAACGAAAGCTTTAGCACTCCAGTTTCAGGTAAAAATATGTCCCTCCCACAGAGTGCAGAGGGAGTGCAGTACAGGGCTGTGATGTTGAGCCCACAGACTGGAATGCCATACAGCACCTGTCATAGGACTCCAAATACCATTCTGTGCTTTGATGTCATGAGAAGCAGCTATAGACCTCAATTACACCTTCCTACAGAGATTTACTGTTCTTGTCAAATGGTTGTCTTAACCCACTACTCTAGATTAACACGGCATAGCCTCCTACTAGATAGTTTATATATCCTCCATATGGGGGTCTAGTGAAGCCTTGAATTTGAAACTGAATCTGCATTTAGATTTAAATATGATTTTTAAAACACCCACCTATGTCAATTGTCAATTGGAAAAAAACAACATAAAAAATGAAAGATGCAGGTCAACCGATTGCTTTACCCAATTAAGGATGTCTCCAAAACTACATGACCATGCAAGTGTTGGCTACGAACCCATTTTTTTCTGTTCTACTTTTGATAAACTTGAATCTGCTTTTATATCTTTGAGCAGAATATTGAGATTTATTTGGGACATGGCAGTTTGGAAACACAACCTTAAGAACACCAACAGGTGCAACTGTTTTAAATATTCTACTCACTATGTCCATCTGCAAAATCTGAGATATTTGGACAGATCTCCATAGTGTAACTCTATAATCTGCAACATGAATATAATGGAATATCAAATAGCACAGAACAACACAAGGACCTAGATACTGAGTTGGGAAAGGAGGCTAAAAAATGTAGGCTTGTATAGTCACGCTAAGTAGAAAGAGACAGAAAAGACTGCAGGAAGAAGATGAAAAAACTGGGATGTGAGAGAGAAAACAATATGGAACTATGGAAAGAAAAGGCTAAGAATGGAAAGGGAAAGAAAAATAGTGGATCTGGATCAATACAACAACTGTCTGTACATATTACATTGCAGTTTTACCTGGCAAATGGTGGTGAATTGTTCAGTGCAGTTTTTCAGTGGGTGTTCAATGAATGTAGTGTATGGTAAATCCCCGGACAAAGGATTCCAACGAGACACAAATGATGGCTCACGCAATTTATCCCAATACATACGGAGCCCTTCTCCTTCTCTCCTGCAGGAATACAATTTTAGGATACACAGTCAGTGCCAAAGTGTCTAATGAGCTGTTGCTGAAAGTATCATTTCTGCAATGAAAGAATTTCTAATAAACGGTTTTCAAGAAAGCATTTGAAACAAGTAAAACATTCTTGTGTTTTTTACATAATTGACGTTCTTCTCCTCATATTTTAAAGCGGCTCGGTTACCCTCTCCTAGAATATTAGTATTTCATAAAGATAGAATCTTTCTGAAATACTCATTTTGACTGTGTTGAAATTTCACTGAAATTGAAAACCAATCAAGAGATATGCAGAGACATAGTAGGGACTACTTTGTCTGTATATTTCCTACGCCTGACACTTCTAGACATGGGGTGGAGTTGTCACCATCTAATGTGTCAATCCCCACAGCCCTCACCAGAGACGGCTGCAGTGAACTGACTCTGTCTATGGATGATTCTGTGGTCTTGATGTTGTACTCATGCGTATGTAGTGATGGTCGCTCGTAGACAGGTGAATGTAAGTAAATTTCCCCTTCCCCTGCCCCCTCAGCCACCTGACCACCAGTCTTTGTGAATTTTGCAAAGTGCCCAGATGGTGACAGTGCCGTTTAATGTCTACAAACAGCATAGTAGGTCCAGTACGCTGATTTATAAAACATATTAAATAACATTATTTTCTACTAGATATAATTTTATAGCACTTTAAAATTTAAAGCAGACCTGTAACTCAATGACTCTTGCCAGCTTTGCAAAATGTGGTACCTGGGTGCCTGTATCATCTTTTACTTTCATAGTAAAATATACACATGGAAACATTGAAAAAAAGGAGGAAAGGTTAGTTTCTTCATATGCCATTATAAGACAATGCAGGTGAAGCACCTAGATGGAGACACCAAGGATAAGCTGTAAAAGTAACCAGAGTTTGAGGATTCATGTGAGCAAACTCCAAAAGAGCATATATACGATCTCAAACAGGACTCAAGAGCATGGGGTTAAGAGATGAACGAGGTGCATACAAAATAATATTTTTGTTGAATAAACCAGGCCATGCCTATAGTATATTCCAAGTCTCACAATGGAGATACAATCAGATTTATGTTGATGATGCAATCATCTGATTTGAACAAGAATAAGACTATGATCAAATAGTAAATTGAGTCACATGGTTTAGATTAAACAGCTTTCAGACATCGCTCATTATCATGCCATTCAAATGTAGAGAGAAAATGGTAGAGGAAACTCTTACAAGGTGCAATATTGCCGCTACAGATTACAGACCTTGCTAGAAAGCAGCACGATAAATAAGTGTCTGGGATTACAGTGGAAAAACCGAAGTGTCTCGTTAGGAATTAAACAACTTTAGCTGAATGAAGCAATTTCGGTGTATAGACAATGCACCTTAATTGACTGCTATTCAGAAATTAAATCACTTTTGTTTCTGTTTACGTAGACCTGGCCACACTTTCCCTGGCTGTGGCACACGCAGCCCGGTAAAAAAAAAAATAATAATACTTTTCAATCAGATCTTATAGCACAGTGTGTTTACTTTAGAAATTCTTATTTACTGCTCTGTTAATTGAACTTTTATCACACACAGGACATTGTTGCAGATGTCAGCAGGCTTTTAACAGAGCATGAGATAAGAAAGTCTAAATTAAACATGCAGTGCAATTAGGGATTATGTGCATCTCAGCAATGGGAGGTGTGACTAGGGGAGTGCTAATTTTAAAAAAATTCACATTAAACTACAACTGTCAGTCACCTGAATTATAATTAGAGATGTAAATGCTGATTGGACCAGAGTCACACCAGTTTGCAAATGGTCATCTTTTTTCAGTCATCTGGTTAACGTATGCTTTTTGTAGCTGAGGTAAAACACACAACAGAGCACAAGCTCAACTTGAAGCAATCAGAGTCAGCTACTTCTTGACATGGTGGTGTATGACGCCAATACCGATTAATGAAAACATCTAAGGTTTTATAAAGTAAGAACATACCGAGAGGATCCCTGGGTTAAGCATACTGATGCAAAGTATGACCTTCAGAGAGACCTTCAAGAGCAATATGTTACTAATAGTCAGTACTAGGATATTGACTGTTATAGAAGATGACTGAAGATGCACTTACAAAACAATTGCCAAGAGATGGACATTAGGATCTGAAAAAGTAACTGAGTATAACATGACAATGGACATGATGCTGAAAAGGGGTTCTGAGCATCAACTTTAAACATAATATATAACGAGTTACCAACATACTCCAACAGTAGGTAGAGCTGTATAAAGTGCAATTAGTTGAATAGAATGACATTTTATTCCAGCTGTCTACATACTCTGTGGTTGAATAACATATCTTTGTTCTAACCAACACTCTCTTACTCCTGTGTTTCCTGTTACTCTGTATATAATAAGCCCTGCTTGGTTTAATTTGTCTTGAGCTCATTTTGAGTCCTTCTTAAATGATTCCAGCAAACATAACCAACAAACATGCACACAGATACATGGATGGTTCCAAAAAACACCAAAAAGAAGTCACTTCACTAAAAAGCATGTATTGAGGAAATGATATATAACACAATGAAATCAGAGAACCTCTACAACTAAACCCATGACACGTTTAACAGTTGCTCATACACAAAGAAGTAAATCTCTTTGTGAACATTTTAATCTCTATGTAAAGGAAACTCACTCTGGAGAAACAATGGGCAGACACTGTCTCCATAAACAAATTATGACCAACAGATGACAATTTTACCCGGTTTACAGCTGATGCACTTTAATTATCTGATGTGGTTTTTCTTTATTAGTAAAACTAATATCATATTCTTCACTTACCTCATCCACACGGACACACAATACTGTGTATGAATATAGTTTGCACAAATTAACCATTGTACTAAAAAGAAAAATAATGTTTGCCTTTCTATTAGACATTTGAAACCTAATCATTCTTTAATATAATCCTCTTTTCAAGATTAGATATATGTGTGATTAGAATCCTGAATCGCAATGCATGCCTTTCCCCCACTATAAGAGAATAGTTTTATTTGAGAATTACAGTGTTTTCTTAGCATCTGGCAACACAACTATAGCTCACTGAAAAAAGGTGGTATGTGTGACTTGGCACCAGTCCACTAAAACATTAGGTACAATGGAGGTTTTGCAGCTTTGTGTACAAGTGCGCTGCATATACATTTATTTATGTCCAAGCTATTCAATGTTTGCCCATCTGTCCTTAAAGAAAGGTATGCATTATTTTTGGCAGACCCCTTCAATATGAAATGATTGTGTTCAATGTTTGAAAGGTTTCAAACACTTTACTGATAAGAAGGAGGAAAGGAGAATGTTCGTTTATAGACATTGATTGTTAGTTGCTTAGAAGACAAATGAATGAATGTCTAAATGACGGTGCATGTATTTTGGTTTGTTTTCCATCAAATTGAATCTATAAAATGTTTAGCGTTTCTTAGATTTAGAGTATGTATTCTCTGTACAGGGAATTGATATTTGTGTGCCAAGCTGCAAAAATTCAGCCCAAAATAGCAATTTGAAAAAAATTACACAACTCTGCTTTTATAGTCTAAAATGAGTTAATGTTTTAAAGTTGAAAAAAACCCTCTCTCTACTACCACTTTTTAACATTGGTTTTGACCCCATGATCAGTATTCATTACAATGTATGTGGGTGTGGGAGGAATTTCTCTCAGACAATAAAAATGACTAGTTTTATGGATGATCCATTCTAAAAGTCCTATCTATAACATCATACATCCTCAACCTAACTGATGGTATACTCTCCTCCCTGACTTTACTTGGGACAAATTAATGATATCTACCAATAACTATTACCAGAGTGTTGTTTCACCTAAAAAAAAAACACGTACATTACTTACTATGTTTCAATAAAGCTATTCTATTCTGAAACAGGGCTTTCAACAAACAGATAAATGCCCTGAATGCAATGAGAAGAGATTGTGATTATTAACATGATTTATTCAACAGTAAAATACAATTAACCTTGGAGGCAGCTTTGTTGGATGTACTCCTTGTGTGTGCCACTAGGAAATGGATCATTAACCAATTAATGGAATTAAGGATCTGTTAACTTCTGAAACCTATTTCATCTTCCATATATTTTATTTGGATATCTCACATCATTCGTACAAAAATTATTAGAATTATAATTTGTATATAGTAAATTTTCTCCTTGACCCCCTACAAAAATAAAACAACAAATAAAAACTTGACTTTACAAACTGGCACTTGAATTGATAGTTGTATGTCAGGCTATTTCTGTATTAAACTTTAATGGCATATCATTACTATATATATATATATATGTATATATATATATATACAAAGTGCACACACACACACACACTTTTTTATATGTTATATTATAGTTATTGTTAATTTAAAATAAAATACAAAACATTTTCTGGAGTTCATTTATAACAGTACACTAAAATATACATATATCCTCACTGTATGATGTATTTTACCTAAACTTTAATTGAAAAGTTTGAAGGAAAAATAAATAAAAAAGAATAATATATAGACATTGCGCCATGCTGAAGTAGAGATTTTTGGATTAATTAGAATGAAAGTAAGTGGCTTCCCTTTTTCCATGACACTTTTTTCACTTGAAGCATTCAATTTACCATACAATCTATGTGTATGCCAATCTATTTAACATAGTCTGTCCATAACTCTCCCTGCCTGGCCGGGTGAGCACACAAGGTTATGATTAAATCAGCTCTTTGATGTACAGTAAGGCACTTATCAGTAAGTTACTTATTAAACACATGTATTGTGAAAGTTTACATATTTTTAATATCAACAATAGATGGTAAACATAAAAAATAAAAATGTCTTGTTTAAACCAACAGATCTCAAAAGAGAATACATAGACACGTGCACACATACATGTATTTAACATAATTATAGCTGCCCCTGTTCAGAGTCTTCTGACACAACTGCAGGAATAAAGGCATAGCCCAAAGGAGGGGAGAGAGATTTACAAGGTTGCTTTTTTATGCAATAAATGTAGGGTGTGTGTAAAGAAAGTATGCAAACATAAGACACATAAGTAAACTGCCTTTACTTAGCATTGCCTGAAAGCACAGCTTATTGTCATAAAAAGGCCCCCCCATATTACTTCTAGAAATGCGACCTCCTTGTTTATTTTAAAAACACAAAGAAAGTGACAGACCTGGCATCACTGAGGGTATCAAGTGGTGTTTTTGCTTCCTAAATGACCTAAAATAAAAAATTTTTCCAAGACAAGAACTAATAGACGCTGGCACGGTGTCAGACAATGAGGTTGCAGAGTCTCAGGTCTATCCATGCCCTCAGGCTCTTACAAACCTGTAGGCAGGTGCTCCTTTGTGATCTTTGCTCACCTGGCTTTTAACCAGCATATTCCTGAGCCCTTAGCTCTATTCCATTAACTGTTTGTTAGCTTTGGCCTGCAAGAAAAGAAATTGCTAGACCAATGGAACAGCCTGGAGGTTTATAAATATGGCATTGATTCCAAAGCAATGCACCGAGTAATAATGCTCTTGAGCAAATTGCTTTATATTGAAAGAACTCAAGTACAGGAAAAAAAGCACATTATGGAAAGGTACTCAGAAGCGCATGCTGACAATTAATTTAGATACCGATCAAGTGAAGCTGTGTAGACTATGTGCCTCTTACACAAAAAGTACATAAGGAATTCAACTGCCAGCCTTATTTTTTTTCATCACTCTTCTCTGACTTGGCATACCATTACATTTACTTCCTGCTCTTAAAAACTTAACTCCATTATATTTCTCCCTCAATTCAAATGTAAAACCATTCTCCTTCACTCCTCTCTGCCAGGATCTTCTCTTGCCTATTGTTTGCACCCGTATTGATAATTCTCACCCATTGAATTTCTCCGTTTTCTTCCATTTATATGGAACAACCACCCTCTCCCATCAGACCTTTCCCTAATTTTCTATCATTTAAGAAGTCCCTTACAATTCATCTCTTCAGGCAAACCTGTGTCCTCTCTTGGTAATTTTCATTCCATAAAGCTGTCTGCCGCATCTAATAATTAGTGAATCCACCATCAATCAACTTCACTCTTCAACATTCCAATTTTACTGCTCTCCTGCACACTCACCTGTTGATGTAATCAATTATCCCCTGTACCCTCTTATAAAACTTCCTGGGGGGTTTTCTTCTCACCCATTATATTAGTCCATTTGTATTATCATTATTATCCCCATTATCCCGCCCTCTATGTTAGTCCTTTTCTTCCAACATTCATGCTGTTCCTTCCCGTGTTCCACCAACAAAGTTTTGGTATCCTTTTATCTCCTTCCACGTCAGTTCCTTTTGGTTACCTTCTATATTACTGGCAACCTTTCTGTCAATCCATTTTTGGCACTCTCCCTATCAGTACCCTCTGGACCTATTGCACAGTGGTACAAAACTTGTTGGTGCTTTGTAAATAATAAAAATAATGATAATAATAATCTCCACAACTCCTCAACAACAAACTATTTAATACAAGTTCCATTTACTCAGCAATAAATATTAATATTTACTTGGAATTATAAGGTTAAGGGTTACCCTGTAGGTTGACATTAAGAGCCAAGTCAGAGTGCTCTGAGTGACGCTGGTGAATTGTGATCACTGCATTGGAATACTAATGATGGAATAATTTAATAGTAAAACCGTATTTTTATTTTCGATTTAAAACCATTGCTCTGGGAAATAGGCCAATGCATTATGGATGAAAGAACTGGCTATCACTTTACTTTCTCTATTATAGCAATATACAAATAATACTAAAAAAAATTTATTTGGGGAAGTATTTGGAGATAATTCTGCACACATTTGTATTGTTATTCCAATTAAACCAAAATCACTTTATGGAGATACGTTGTTTGTTCATAAGGTAAAATACACAGTGTTTGTTCCCAAACCAGCTTTACAAGTGCGTTATGTCAAGGCATACTCCAGTAGACAAGCTATCAATGTCAAGATGCAGCACTCTTTATTGGAGATATGTTACTCACAGCAGTAAAAGTCCTGTACATTATTTTAAGGTTTATATCCCATTCATTTTGAATGTGTATCCTGTTAGCTACTCGCGTAAGACGCTGCACTTTTCTGAAATAGTTACAGAAATGTAACACTCATATTTGAAATGCTTTGAAGTACAAAAATTTAAATATTGGATCTTGGGCCACAGACTCTAACTGTAAGTTCCCAGTCAAGCATTAATCTTATTACATGATCGCAGAGATAAAAGAATGAACCTTTCAACCCGCTGCAATCATTAACAATAACATTAGTTAGTTTATTTAAGTAGCCTGAATCTTGTAGTGGAGTAACCACATATTTATTTATAGAAGTCACTAGAGTCAACAACTCCTCCAGCAAACTTGTCCCTGTTTAAAGGGACATTTTGAACACCATGGCAAGACAAGTATGAAATAAAATATGCTATAAATTCTTGCTGGACTGCTTGGTTGAAAGTTTCCTACTTTCTGCTTGGTCTGGAAAAGATCAATGTAGCAGTGGCAAATATTTGGGATGTGAAGCAAATGCAGTGACTTCAAAGGTAAGTATCTTTGTCCATTTTGTTGCTTCCAAAATGACACAGGAAGTCTCTTATACCACAGTGCTCACAGCTTCTAAGAAGATATTACATTCCTTCTAATGATGACTCCTGGGAGTGGGTTTAGGACTTGAAAACTGTTTGACCAAAACTGGAGATTCCAGCCATAGCTAGCAACATAATGGCAAAAAGCTGTAATGGTTATGGTACTGTGAATAGTTCCATTGCTGAAGCCCTATGTAACCCATGAAAAAGTGAGGGCATATTGTAATAGAACTGCCAAAACCCCCCTTTTAAATCTTCAGCTTTTTTGGAAATGGGCATAATACTACAGAGGGGCAATTGAGAAGATTTTTTTGATTTTTTTTTTTTTTGTAGAATGCACACTATATAAATATAAAACCAAGTTTTTGAACTTTAAATTGCACAGATTGGGGTTTAGATCCTTGTTCATTTATAAATACTCCTGGAATGCAAAATTACTAGATTTAACGCATGGATAGCGATGTCTTGTATCAACAAAGGAAATATATGCTATTGCAGTGGGTTCACCATGCTACTATGACCTCTAGTGGTTTCAGTCAGGAATGGCATGTTAATTTTAGTAATGACTTACTTTGTTTATAAAATTCACATATTATATGTATGTTATATATATGTTTATACAAAAATCTGCACACCAGTCAAGCCATAAGACTTGCTTTTCCCACAGAAATCTGTGGGAAATTATATATATATATGTTTGTGTTCTGGGCAACCTTGATTATGATATGAAGTAAGATTGTTGTTAGCAAACCTGTGATGGGGAAAAGTCGGTTGAGGTGTGCCGAAACCAACGTATGCTACAGGCCAGTAAATAAAGTGGGCAAAAAGGAATACATATCATGCTTAAAATACATTTATTAAGGGAAAGAGCAAAATACAACGTATGTACATTAAGATTAAGTTTTTAAAAAGACCTTTCATATTTCCTGTACCGGTTGGAGTATGTATACTGTATATGCTGATGACTTCCACCGACCTAGAGTTTTAATGACATGGACTGGAATGTCCTGGCTCGATGCCATAGATGCGTCCCCTATCCTAAACGAGTGTCCTGAATAATTGCTTGGGTTCGTACCGAGCCTTGTTAACAATAAGCGTACGTATAGCTCTGTGAAGTGACAGGAGTGGAAGAGATGCAAGATTCGATATTGTGAGGTGGTAGGAATCGAAAACCTACACCGGGCACCATATATTGTTAGTGGGATAGTATGGAATGTGGACGGGTTGACCCAGTTGACTCGTTTTGGTCATGGGTAGAGTCAGTATGTAATGATCTTCATGTTTAATTAGGTAGGAGTTTCGAAGGCAACCTTGTGCGTGGTGTTGACCACTGATGGTGAATTCCCGTGGTTGCAGGAAGCTGTAAAAGGCCAGGTATATAGCAGTTTTAATGACGGAGTTAGTGATGGGCTCGAAAGGGGCTGAATCTAGTAAATCAGACATATTTTGGACAACTGTTTGTTAATGCGTAGCCTTTGTTGTGGGGTAGAACATTGGCCTTTGTTATGCCCTTAAGTATGTTATGGTCCTGATAGGGTATGATGAGATAAAACTATAGTTGTTCGGAAAGGTGGAGTACATATGGTGTTGGATGCCTGTTAGCTATAATTTTATGGTATTGTGGGATAACTTTAACTTGAGGTGGCAAAAAGTGGTGAAAGTCATCAGGGATCAGCCTCCGTCTTCTTAGGTGAGACTGGTACCCATAATATGTGGAATAATTTGACCGCTTTGTCTAAACTGCAAGTGGGGGAGAATTACTCTTGATGAATAAAAAATCGTCCAGATAGTGGATAACGTTATGGCACTGGCACGTATTCAGGAGGAGCCAACACAAGGTTTCCGGGAAAGTATCAACATTTTTGGACTACTCTTCGAACCAAAGGTGAGCCTAGTGAAAAAATAATAGAGACCGTTCCATTTAATGCCATGCAGGTGCCATAACAATGGATGTATGGGTAATAATTTAAAGGCATTGACGATGTCTGTCTTGCTAAGCCAGGCCCCCATGCCTGCTGTCATGATAGCTTCTACAGCATTGTCAATCATAGTGTACTGCAGTGAGAACTCTTAAAAGGGGATCAGAGAGTTAAGGCTAGGGACTACTGAGGAGTGTGGTGCCAAGAGATCTATGATCAATATCTGCTTAGCCGAGTTTTTCCCAGTGACCAGGCCAATAGGATTAGTCCTCCAGTTAGAAAAAGGAGGCTATCTGAAAGGCTCTAATAAAAACCCTTGCTCCCATTCTAGCTGTAATAACACCTCTACTGACTCGGTGTCAGTCATGGCTGATTGCAGGTTGTTACACTCTAAAATTCCTGCTGGCATGTGAATAAGGCCCGTGTGGAAACCCTGGGTAAAACCTGTTATCATAAACTCAACAAGATGTTTAGAAGGATGAGTGATTAATAGATTAGCTAGGACACCAACATTAACCGAGGTCAAATAAAGTTTATGATGCATTCTATTTGGGCACATGGCTTTCGCATGTGCCCTGAAACAATGAGAGCAAATGTGTAACAGACGACAGGCACTATAACCACATGAACCTTCAGTAAAATTATTGCATATCTGTGACTTGCCAAGGAATACTATCTGGCTGCCCACTTTATCCTTGCCCTGCTTCTCGAGCCTCGTAGTGCCTGGGATGGCCGTGGTAGGGGTGATGCCAGGTGAAACAGGACAGAAATTGGCTGGATGCGCGGTTGATGCACAAATTGCACAAGCTCCTTAGCCCAGCAAAGTGTCTGATGAAAAGCTCCGTGCCCAGTTGGCTCCAATCCATCTTGACATTGTACTGGGCCAGGGCTGCCGATGCCTTTGCTGAAAATGACTGATGGTAGTCATAAAAAGACGTATGTGCCCTGATGACACGAGACCATGGGAAACCACGGCCCCTTGGTGTATCATAATCAATGACCGAACCCCGTTGCCTCATGTGAATCACAAGCATCTCTATACAGCCATAAAGTCTCGGTGCCCGCGCCGCTTAACACAGCGATAAGCAAATGGTATACAGTGTTGTATAATATATACTACGAAAAATTTAGGTGTTTCAGGACTTAGGGCAGACTGGCCATGCCAGGTAGAAGGACGCTTCCGAGCCTGAGGCCTACAGCTCTCCCAGACAATGTGGAAATAGAAATATTCTCTGAGCCAAACATTTTATATATTAACTTTTTAAATGTAACTAGACCGCCTTCGTGCGATCATGCCTCTGAAAACCCGACCTCCGTTGAAGCAGCGGAACGGGAGGTACCCATGCCGGCGTAGGCCAGGAGCTATGGCTTGCAAGGAGGTTAGCTTACAGTTGCGGGAACACAAGACGGATTGCACTGATGTCACTCAAAGGCTCTTGCACGAGACGACATTTAGTCTTGGCTTCCAGGTCAGTGGCCTAACAGGCAAACATCCGAGAGTTAGCTGCGGCAACCAGAGCCTAGGTGAAGTGGCTGGATACCGTGATGACCCTTAGCATCACGGTAGGGTAAGGAAGCGGGGAGTCCCTTTTAAAGGTCCATAGGCCCCTCCCACAACTTCAGGCCAAGCTTTCCAATATATATATAATATTTTAACAGGAAGGATACATTGAGATTTATCTTTTTTTCAAGTTTGTCCTGGGTACTTGAAAATGAGAGAAATCTCAATGCATCTTTCCTGGTTCCTGGTAAAAAAAAACATACACACAAAATGTTCTCACAAGTCAGCTTAATTCTAATTACACTGTATACATACAGATCAGTCACACACAAATATGTAAGAGAACTAAGAGAAGATTTTAGGCAGAACCATTTCCTTGGGGGAACAATTCAATCATCAGAACTGCTCTGCAATCTGTCTGAAACATCTAGCAGTTAAAAAGGTGGCTAGGCACACTTTCCTCAACCCTACCACTCCTTTTCCATAAGAGGCATAGATAGGTCCTCTAGTGATAAGCAGTGTGTTAAACATATTGGCCTCCATTAATATAGAAGTAAAATAAAGCAAAAAGGTAGGCGACCACACAGCATCGCCACTGCTCATTCAAACTATCAAACATCTTTATATCAAATGGTTAAAAAGTTATATGTGTACAAACGACATTAACACTCTCAACATATTTTGTGTCTGCCAACACTTTCTCAAACCTTGCCATACCCACAGCATGGAACATGGAGACATAAGGAAGGTTGAAACCTCCCTTATACTAATATGGGGGTCACATTCGGCTTTTTTCTTTTAATAGTTTTTTTTTTTTAATGACTAACAGGGTTTGTCTTTTAAAAAGGCAGATAAATGCACTCTTATAGGCATTTTATTTCAAGCAGTCGACCTATTTATTGCTCTTGGTTGCTTGAAGTTTGGCTGGCATTTTATCCCACAGACATTTGGAGAAAAATAAATAAATAAATAAAATAAATGTAAAAAGTCAGTAAATTATCAATTGCTCTTTCTCAATAGAATGAAATTGAGATGATTGTTAGCTGTAAATTTTTTTGTACAACGGCACTCTATTTTGAACCTGTCTGGTTACTTAAGGTCCCTTTTGAATGTTCTATTTGATTACCACTTAATAATAAAGTACAGTGGTGTACCTGAGGGGGGGGAGGTGCAGCACCCCTGGCAGCACTTCCTTGGAGGTGGCAACAGCTCAGCCACGCTATGTGAATTGACCAGCAGGACAAGAGCACTGTGTGTTCCCCTCCTGCTAGTCGCTTGGGCATTGCGCCCCTCACAGACAGGCCTGTGGGCAGCCAGCATACAAAGATCCTCGGAAGTGACAAGCTCGGAGAACTTGCCTTGGCCTTCCCTGTGCTGTGAGCAGTGCTGTATTTAGTGCAAGGCAAACAAGGAATTTGCCTTGGGCAGCACTTTCCAGGGGGCGGCAAAAAATGCTGCCCCCCATGTGAGCCGGCGCAAACTTGATCATAAAGTCAGGCCCTGTGCCCCCTCTGAAGCAGCGCCCTATTCGGCTGCCTAGTTGGCCTATAGGAAGCTCCGACCCTGCAAATACCTTGTTAGCCTTGACTTATGGGGGGTCAAAGAGTTGGACGGCTGGTCACCCTTGAGCCCCCCCAGGTCGCCCGGACAGTTTCTTTTACAGGTGGCCGGTGAAGGAAAGCTGATCTGAGCTCTTCCTGCTCAGCTCCCTCACGCGACCCCCAGTGATACCGGGAGCCGGAATGTGATCTCACTCCGGTGCCCGGCATCACTAAGCTGTGCACGAGGGAGCTGAGCAGGAAGAACACAGCTCCCTGGCCGTCTATTTTGCGCACTCACTTGCACTTTGTCTGCCTGCCCTCCATCCTACACACCTGCCTGACCTCCATCTGGCACGCCGAGCGGCCAGCCCAGAAGCCCCACTGGACCCCAGGTAAAAATCCACCCAACTCTCCCAAAGGTAGGGAGGCTGGGTGGATTTAAATTAAAATAAAAGTAAATAATTATTTGTAAATGTTATGGGGAAATGTGTGTGTGTGTATGTCAGTGCATGTGTGCAGGGCCGCCATCAGAAATTGTGGAGCCCCTAACACAGCTCAAGGTCTGGGCCCCCGGGTGCCCGCCTCCAAATCCCGCCCACAGGAATACACAGACACACACACAGAAAGATACCCACATACTAACAGACACAAATACTTAAACAGACATACACACATATAGACACATACACAGATACAGATACACACACATACTGACATTCACACACACACACACACATACAGACATACATACTGACAAACAGACATACATACAAACTGACATACATACACATACATACTGATATACATACATACACACACACAGATAGCTATATACATACATACACAGATACATACAGACATACTGACATACACACACAGACATACATGCATACTAACATGCATACTGATAGATATATACATACACACATACATACATATTGACATACACACACACAGACATACATACATACAGACATATATATACATACTGACATACACACACACATACAGACATACATACATACTGACAAACAGACATACATACAAACTGACATACATACACATAAATACCTACACATACATACTGATATACATACATACACACACAGATAGATATATACATACACAGATACATACAGACATACTGACATACACACACAGACATACATGTATACTAACATACATACTGATAGATATATACATACACACATACATACATATTGACATACACACACACACAGACATACATACATACATACAGACATATATATATACATACTGACATACACACACACATATAGACACATACAGACATACTGACATACACACACAGACATACATGCATACTGACATACATACATACTGACACACACACAGACATATATACATACTGACATACACACACAGACACACACTGACATACATGCATACTGACATACACACACACAGACACACATACATACTTGCAGACACATACACAGACATACATACATACTGACATACATGCATACTGACATACACACACACAGATATATATACATACTGACATACACACAGACATACATACTGACATACACACACACACACTGACACACACAGACATACATACTGACATACACACAGACATATATACATACTGACATACACACAGACATACATACTGACATATATACATACTGACATACACACAGACATACATACATACATACTGACACACACAGACATATATACTGACATACACACAAACAGACATATATACATACTGACATACACACAGACATACATACACACATACATACTGACACACACAGAGACATATATACATACTGACATACACACACAGACATACATACTGACATACACACACACACAGACATATATACTGACATAAATACATATACACACACACACTTCATTTATCAGCCACCCTCCTCTTACCTTTAGGTTGCAGGAGAGTGGCTGGGGATAAAGGGAGTGGATGCCTCTGGTGTCCTCTCCTGGCCTCTGCTCTCCCTCTCCTCAGCTCTCCTCCCGCACGGAGTAAGCTGGGAGGAAGTGACTGGCCGTCACTTCCTCCCAGCAGCATTTGCGGTGCAGCCGCAATTTTTTTTTAAAGGGGCCCAGTCGCGCAATTACCCATCCGCAGCGCTGATCGGGCCCCTGAAGATTATAGGGCCCATCGGGTGGCCCTAAATGTACCTGCGGCAGTTTCGCAGCTCCACGTGGGGCCTGGGCGGCTGGGTCCCCCAGGGCCGCTGGGCCCGTGACAACCATTATAGTTGTCACCCCCTGATGGCGGCCCTGCATGTGTGTGTGTCAGTCTGTCAGTGTGTGTGTGTGTGTGTGTTTGTATGTCAGTAAATGTGTTGTTACAGCTGTCAGTTTGTCTGAGTGAGTGTATCTGTCAATGAGTGTGTTTGTCTGAGTGTGTTTTATGTCAGTGTGTGTGTGTCAGTGAGTGTGTGTATGTGTCTGTCTGTCTGTCAGTGAATGTGTGTTTATATCTTTGAGTGTGTCTGTCAGTGGGTTTATCAGTGAATGTTTCTGTGAAGGAGTATGTGTGTTTCTGTGAGTGAGTTTGTGTGTGTGTCTGTGAGTGAGTTTGTGTGTGTCTGTCAGTGAATGTGTGTGTCTGTCAGTGAATGTGTGTGTACGTCTGTCAGTGAATGTGTGTGTACGTCTGTCAATGTGTGTACATCTGTCAATGTGTGTGTCTGTCAGTGAATGTGTGTGTATATATTCAAATATAATATTTAAACAAAGAAAATATGTTTAAAAGAAGAAAAACTACCACAACAAGAGGACATAGTCTTAAATTAGAGGGGCAAAGGTTTAAAAATAATATCAGGAAGTATTACTTTACTGAGAGGGTAGTGGATGCATGGAACACAGTAAAGGAGTTTAAGCATGCGTGGGATAGGCATAAGGCCAGGGACTAATGAAAGTATTTAGAAAATTGGGCCGAATGGTTCTTATCTGCCGTCACATTCTATGTTTCTTTGTTTCTATGTATGTCTATCAGTGTTTGCCTGTGAGTGTGTGTGTGTGTGTGTGTGTGTGTGTGTATCTCTGTCAATGTGTGTTTGTTAGTGAATGTGTGTCTTTCAGTGAGTGTGTGTGTCTTTCAGTGCATGTGTCAGTGCGTGTCTGAGTGATTGTGTGTGTCTGTCAGATTGTGTTGAATCAGTGAGTATGCGAGTATGTGTGTCTGCCAGTGAGTGTATGTCAATGTATCTGAGAGAAATTGCACAGTGTCCACTCTTCCAGGCAGGGAGCGGAGTGTGACTGAAGTGAGGGGTCTCTGGAGGTAAAAGGGATTCCAGGGACAGAGGGGTATCCTAGGGGTAGGGAGTATCTGAAATAGGGAGACAAAGAGGCATCCTATGGGAATGGGGACGGAGGGCATCCTAGGGGTAGGGGGTATCTGAAATAAAGGGTCAAAAGGGCATCCTAGGGGTAGGGAGTATCTGAAATATGGGTCTTGGTGGCATTCCAGGGATGAGGCAGCAACCTAGGAGTAGAGGGCATTCAAGGACAGAGGACAGGGGATATCTTAGGTGTGGGGGTATCTGAAATAGGGGGACAGCAAGGCATCCTCGGGGAAGGGAGTATCTCAGATAGGGGACAGGGTGGCGTTCCAGGGATAGAAGACAAGGGTAGAGTTGTGGCATCTGAAATAGGGGGAAGGGGGCATTCCAGGGATAGGGGACAGGAATGGGGCATCCTAAGGGTAGAGTGGTTTCTGATATAGGGAGTGGAGCATGCCACAGGCTGTGCGAAGCGGTGTGGTGCATATTGAGAGGGGCAGCAAACTCAGGGACCGCCCCAGGCGGTAAAAGTTCTGGCTACTACACTGATGGAATAGCAGTACAGATGTCTATTTGTGTGTGTGTGTGTTTGTGTGTGTGTGTATATAAAAATAGATACAGTGAGGTCCATAAAATTTGGAGAGTGATTACATTTTCATAATTTTGACTCTGTATGTGAATGCAGTGGTATTGAAATGAAGAGATCAACAATTGAAGTGGAGACTGTCATCTTGTATTTGAGGGTATTTCTATCAAAATTAGTTGAATGGCTAGGTAATCATAACACTTTTTATATTATTATTATTATTATTATTATTATTATTATTTAAATAGCCCAGCAAATTCAGTAGTGCTGTACAATGGGTGGACTAACAGACACGTAATTGTAACCAGACAAATGGACGCACAGGAACAGAGGGGTTGAGGGCACTGCTCAATGAGCTTACATGCTAGATTGAGTGGAATATAGTGATACAAAATGGTATAAGTAGGGGTAATGAAATAGGTTGCTATAAAAAAAATATTCACTGAGAACTTATTTTTATTTTTGACAGTTGCAGGAGAGGAGTCATGGGAGGGGGAAGCGGGGGAATGAAAACCTGCTAACAGTTTAAATGATATGTTTTCCTGAAGAAGTGTGTTTTCAAAGATTTTTTGAAGGAGTGGAGACTGGGTGAAGTCTAACGGAGAAAGGAAGGGAGTTCCACAAAAAAGGTTCAGCCCTGGAGAAGTATTGGAGGCGAGCATCAAATGTGGGAGTACGGACAGAGGATAGATGAAGGTCTTCTGCAGAGTGCTGGGGCCTCGACGGGACATACTTGTGTATTAGGGAGGATAGATAGGCTGGAGCAGCATTATGTAGGGACTTGTAAGCAAGCATCAGAATCTTAAATTGAGCCCTATATCTAACTGGAAGCCAATGTAGGGACTGACAGAGGGGGAAGGCTTGGGAGGTGTGGATAAACAGGAAAATGAGCCTCGTCGCCGCATTCATTATAGATTGCAACGGTGCATCTGGGATCACGTAAGACCAAAGAGAAGGAGATTGCAGTAGTCAAGGTGATATATATATTTATATATATATATATATATATATATATTCAATCTCCTAAAAGAGGGAGGGAAGGCCTTAAGTGTCATAAACTGCATTGCTGGCCCAATTAAAGATGCAAACCTACCCATATAAAACCCCTTTACAACATCTAATCAAGTCAAGAACACTCAGAACGTAGGCTTTCAAATTCTTCAAACAAGATAAGATTTTATGAAAGTATATAAAGAAGGTTTACCAGACAGCACCGGTGTCTGGTGAGTTTCAAGAATAGGAAGGCCTCATTAGACTTTGCCAAAAACATAAATAAAAAAAGAAACTATGTGTTCTGGAAAAACAATAATAAAAAAAAAGACATGTTTTGTAAAAATATCCTTTAGACAGATCAACCAGTAACAAAATTAGAAGAAACAGTTTATGGACATCACAGCAGTGGCAAAACAAACAAATATTTATTGTAGAGCACATAAGATGTTTCAGTCAAATGGCCTTAATTATTTATACATGATTAAGGACGTTTGGCCAAAACATTGTATGCTTTACATGTCTGTTCTTCAATCAACTTCTGTTTGCTTTCCACTAATGTGAACGGTTTCTACTAATGTGGGGATAGTGAGTCCCTTTTACGGAGCATCAGCCTAAGCACATACTTTACTACCACTGTTTCTGTGTACAACACCCATATTCATAGAACCTGTAATAGAATGAAGGAAAGACCTGTGAGCTTAACTTCTGTGACTGGGAAATTATTTGAACGGCTATTAAGGGATAATATTCAGGAATTCATTGGGAAGAACTGTGTTATTAGCAATAATCAGCATGGTTTTATGAAACATAGGTCATGTCAAACTAACCTAATTGCATTCTATCAAGAAGTAAGTAGAAGTATAGATCAGGGTGTTGCAGTGGATGTGATCTACTTGGATTTTGCCAAGGCATTGGCATTGATACGGTTCCTCACAATAGGTTAGTCTTCAAACTAAAAGAAATTGGTGTAGATGAAAATTCTTGTTCTTGGGTAGAACATTGGCTTAAGGATAGAGTACAACAAGTTGTCATTAATGGTAAATTTTCAAACTGGACAAAAGTGGTAAGTTGTGTCCCTCAGGGTTCTGTTTTGGGACCGATTCTATTTAACATATTTATAAATTATCTTGAAATGGGCATTGAAAGCCATGTATCAGTGTTTGCAGATGACACAAAACTTTGTAAAGTAATAAAATGTGAGCAGGATATTGCCTTGCTGCAAAGGGATTTGGATAGATTGGGGGACTGGGCACTAAAATGGCAGATTAAATTTAACGTAGAGAAATGCAAAATTATGCACTTTCGGGTTAAGAATGCACAAGCAATTTACACCCTAAATGGTAGTGAACTAGGGATAACCACACTCGAGAAGGATTTGGGAATTGTTATAGACAACAAATTAAGCAGCAATATGCAATGTCAATCTGCCGTTGCTAAGGCCAGTAATGTTTTGTCATGTATAAATAGGGGTATAAATTCTCGAGATGAAAATATAATTTTGCCTCTTTATAAATCGCTGGTAAGACCATACCTTGAATATGCTGTGCAATTTTGGGCACATGTTCTAAAGAAAGATATCATGTCACTAGAAAAAGTGCAGAGACGAGCTACAAAATTGATTAAAGGAATGGAGCATTTTAGTTATGAAGAAAGGTTAAAAAATGTAAATCTCTTTAGTTTGGAAAAATGGCGCCTGAGAGGGGATATGATAACATTCTACAAATATATTCGGGGCCAGTACAAACCATTATCTGGAAATCTTTTCATAAACAGGGCTATACATAGGACACGAGGTCACACATTTAGGCTGGAAGAAAGGAGAGTTCATCTAAGGCAAAGGAAAGGTTTTTTTACAGTAAGAGCAATAAGGATATGGAATTCTTTGCCTGAAGAGGTGGTTTTGTCAGAGTCTATACAGATGTTTAAACTGCAATTGGATAAATACTTGCAAAAACATAACATACAGGGATATAATTTCTAATTAGTGGGATAATAGCTGCTTGATCCAAGGAGACATCTGACTGCTATTTTGGGGTGAAGAAGGAATTTTTTCCTAGTTTGTTGCAAAATTGGAAGCGCTTGAGACTGGGTTTTTTGCCTTCTTTTGAATCAACAGCAAAAACATATGCGAGGAAGGCTGAACTTGATGGACGCAAGTCTCTTTTCAGCTATGTAACTATGTAACTAAGTAACTAAGAGTATGTAGAAGGGAAGGGTCGGCTCATGATCTGAGACATTCAATGTTATCGATAAATAATGGTGGAGACAGTGTTATGGCACGGACATTTATGGTTGCCAATGAACTGGCTCACTAGTGTTTATTGATGGTATGGCTGCTGATTGAAGCAGTAGGATGAATGCTGAATAAATTGGAGGGTGGCTTTATTATAATTGTTGTAATTATTAAATGTTCATACAATATTTTTTAAGCTCCTTGAATTAAAGGGACATGCATGACTTAAATAATTTAGTTTTAAACCATCAAGCAAACATGTCTAAACAAATATACAAACCAAAATAAAACAATAAAAACTTTGAGAAGTATATAATAAAAATTTATGAACTTACTACATCCACTCTTCTTACCCACCAATCTCATTATCAGACCAGTCTACTAATGACAGAAACTGGGCATCATTGTGCAGCAGCAGGAGAGAAAAACCTGACACCCGTGTCTGCCATGCATGATTTACACTGATCAGACTCCATCTTTTCTCCCTCTGTCAGAATGTTGCAAGGTGAAGATATCTTCCAACTGAACATGTGTAAATCAGGGATGACCGGTGCACTTTTCCAGCATTCCTAGGGATAGGACACTGATTGGTTAGATCAATGTCCCCCCCCCGGATTAGGAAAGCATAAAAAAGAAGAAGCAGGTAAATATAAAAAAAATAAAAAAAAATCACATTTACCTGCTTTCTTTCATCCTACAAACTGAGGCAACTGTCTCATTCAAAGCTAAAGCTTACTAAGGATGGACCATGCAGAGAGCACTCTTTCAGGGTTCTACCTGAGCCTTGCACGAGTGTGTCTAAAGATGTGCGTGTGCTATGCTTTTTTTGGTACAAATTCCTGGTGTCCCTAAAGCAGGACACTAGGGAACAAAATCAGAATGGTGGGACAAAACTTTGTAATCGGGAATGTCCCACCAAAATCATGATTGTTATGAGACCTGCAGGGCTATGAATTTTACTACTAATGTGTACTCAGTGACATTATGTAGCAGCAGACTGTAAGGAAGGATTACATGCTGTTTACTTGTTCTAGGAACTACTGGGTCAGCGTGGATTTACTGTAAAATGCCATGCTAGGTTTAACTTGGGTGGGTAAATAGTGCAGCTTCCATTATTATATTTTTTTTTGTTCAGGTTCATGATATAATAAAAACCCACAAAATTCCAAAGGGAATGTGTCATTCTAAAACTTGTTGCAGCATGTCAGACAGCGTTTAGGTTTGAAAAGCCTTACTTCAGATTATTTTAATATATGCTAGGGCTTTTATATATAATAAAAAAACAAACACACACACACTAAATATGTGTAGTGTTTAATGAAATCTGGTATTCCATATTTAACTAATATAGAAGGATTACAGAATACAGAGGACAAGGAACAGACATTGTTCCTTACTTCTAGCTAGTCACTGAAGGTTTTTTAAAACGTGTTGCCATTCGCTGAAAACTTCCATATTCCACAGATTTATGTTTTAAACAAGTATAATTTAGACCAAGCTTGTCTAGGGGTAAACATTTATTATTTGCATCCATCTGTTTTGTCAGCAGTGGCCTGTGTCCAGTGAAACCTGACCAAGAGCTTAATATAGTTGTGTCTAAAATTGTTCCATAAGGATAATGGCTGGAGTTAAGAACAGTCATCTTTCCGTGCTCCACGCCTACTTGTTGCTATGTTTATATCGTTACTCACCTAACAGTAGACAAAGGTATAAAAGTAAATCCCTATTAAACATGCACATAGAACATATTCAATTATATAAATCTTGACTGAGTTGCTTTTTTTTAAAAATTATTTTATAATTTTTTATTTTGTATATTAAGACATATGTAACATCATAACAAAAGTACAAAAGGTATAAAATTTTTCAATATCGCTTTTAGGATACAAATAAAGGTAATTGTTAGACATCTTTTGAAGTTTTGGTTACAGTCATGAGGTTTATAACTTCGTTAAGGATCATAAAGTTAGACAGTTTTACAAAGCGGTACATGGTGTCATGTAGGTTTCAGTTAGTTAGGGAGTCACACAGGTGTGAAATCGAAAACAAGAACAAGGAGAGGGACACAAAACAAACTCCTCGCATAGTATATACGTGTTCTCGAGAGGTGTGGTTGGAGCTAATGATTACCCTCTTTGCGAGGAAGTGTTGATGATATATATTTATCGTGTTCTCAATAAGGGACATGAGCCTTGTTTGAGGATATGAGGGTCCGTCAGTATTGTGGTAGTATTTCTGTCCCAATTATGACGTTTATGACTTAACTTGTTCGCCTTGATTAAACCTGTATTTGAAGGTTTTTGGGTGTTGGGTTGTGCGCTTAAGGATTAAATTTGTCCCATAGCATAAGTTCAATGAGTCCTGAAGTGGCATATTATAGTGTTTTATGGTTAGGAGTCGAGGAAGGAGATCCAACGGTTCCAGATTTTGGCAAATGGTTGGTAGGTTTTAGATTTAGCGTGTGTTATCTCTTCCATCTGCCTGATTCCCTCCACCCTCTCTACCCATTCTCTAATAGTGGGTACTTGTGATTGTTTCCAGTATCTAGGAATTAGTTGTGAGGCTGCTATGGATAAGAAATTGAAAAGAGCCACCTGTTCTTTTCGTAGGCCATCTGGCGGAAGAAGGAAGATGTAGTGTCATGGGATGAAAGGGATTTTACTTCCGGTGATTGTTTGGCTAAGGATATGTATTCTATTCCAGAACTTCTCTATTGTCGGGCATTGCCACCAGATGTGTGAGTGGTTGGCTATCATGTGTTGACATCTCCAGCATGATTCTTAGGGTGTGTTATATATTTTGTGTATCTTCATTGGTGTGTAGTGCCAGTGAGTGATCCATTTATAATTACTTTCTTGGGCTGTGTTAGAGGTAGTTGATTTGTGGGCTGTACGGAATATAGTGTTCCATTCTCGTTGCGAGAAGTTAACTTGTAGTTCTTCTGCCCATTGTAATATACATTTAGGTGGGATCGGGTCAAGTTCTTCCCTAATAAGATTGTACATGGTGGAAAGTAGTTTTTTGGGTAGTGGATGTGTGTCACATAGATGTTCGAATTTGGACAGGTCTCTTGTTTCCTTTGTTAAGAGGTTTTGGTTTTTGATAAAATTTAATAGTTGTTTGTAGTGGAGTTTCTGGTTGCCTGTCGGTGTGGTGTTTGACAAGATTTGTGTTAGGGTTTTTAGTTTACTGTTTTCCATCATGTCTCTCAGTTGTAATGTGTTACCCCTATGATATGCGTTGTAGGTGTTGCCCGAGAGTCCTATCTGGAAATGCGGGTTGTGTGTGAGAGGATACAGTGTGGAGGGATATGAGGAGATTTCCATAGTTTTCAGTAGTTTGTGCCAGACCTGAAGTGTAGGTTTAATGGTAGGGTGTGGATCCTGTTGGAGGTAAGGTTGCATTTGATTTGGAGGGAGCCAAGGATATACTTCTAGTGGGATCTCTGAGAAGGTGTTCTCTAAACATACCCAGTGTTTAGTCGTGGTGACAGATGTCCACTCGTAGATTCTCGTGAGATGGGTCGCCATGTGATATAGTTCGATGTCAGGTAAGTTAAGTCCTCCTAGGGTTTGGGTAGTGGAAGAAGAGTAGAGTTTCCGGTGAGCTAGGCAGTTTGATATTTGTTACTAAGTGAATAATTTTGATTATTTTAGACCAGTATTCGCTAATAGTTGGGCATGTCCACCATATATGACCCTTTGTTCCTTTGGGGTAGGAACATCCCCTACAAGATTCTGATGCGTTCGGAAAAATGTTGTGTATCTTTGATGGTATAAGGTGCCACCTGGATAGTCCTTTGAAGTTTCCTTCTTGAGTGTGTGTGCTGATGCAGGTCTTATGGATGTTAATGAATATGTGTTTCCAATCATGTGTCAATTTAAGGCTGAACTTAGACTCCCAAGAGCTCATGTACTTGGGCAGGGAAGGAAACGCTTCTTTTAGTAGTAGCTTATACATCAGTGATAGATGTTTTGTTTTTATGTTGCTGGAGGCACAATGGTTTTCAAATACCGTAAGTTGTCTGTTCCGTTTGAGGATGGTAGGGGTGGATGAGAGAAAGTAAGTTCTGGTATTGTTGTAGTGCTGAGGGTGGTGTGTCGGTCTCTAGATCGCTGAGTGGAGTGATACCCTGGTCGTGTAACAATGTGCATAGTGGAAGGTAGGGACATAAGTGGTATAATGCGAATGAGGAGGGATTGAGGCCTGGTGGAAAATGTGAGTTTTGTGTGAGTGTTTATAGAGGGGATGGGTATGGGGATACACTCGGTAAGTCTCTAAGTCATGCCTATATCTTAAGAGTTGGTGCTATCGTGGGGTGTGAGGTATGTCATGGAATGGTTAACAGAGGGTGTAGGAATGCGGCTTTCTCCAGAAGGACCCAATGTTTGCAGTTGTTGGGGAGTAATCATTGATATATTCTAGTGAGCATAACTGCTTTGTAATACATTTTGATGTCTGGCAGGCCCAAGCCCCCCTGATGCTTATGGTTTGTAAGAGTTTTGGACAGAAGTCCGGGTTGGTTGTGCGACCAAATTAAACAGGTAAATGTTTTCTTAATTTTCAAAAAACAAGTTTTGGGCCTTGCTATAGGGATGGTCTGTAGTAGGTATAGTATTTTGGGGAGCAAGTTCATCTTTATAATGCTTATTTGGCATAGCCAGCCAAAGTGTGGTTTGTGCCATGTGGTTACGTCTTGAGAAATTGTGTGTAAAAGAGGTAGGAAGTTCAGGTCATAGAGTTTGGAGGATTGTGAAGGTAGATGTATTCCAAGGTATTTGACAGACGTGGGTGACCATAAAAAGAGAAAGGAGTTTTGTAGGGTCTCCTTAGTTAAATCAGTGATCACCAGTGGGAGTATTTAACTTTTCGTAAGGTTGACTTTAAAGTTGGAGACATGATGGTTTAGGGCTATTTCCTCCAAAATCTGTGGCATATATGTGAGCGGTTGTGTAAGTGTAAATAAAAAGTTGTCAGAGAATGCTGCCACCTTATGTACGCTATCTTGCACTGTGATACCGTGGATATTGTGATTGTCTCTGATACCTTGAAGGAATGCCTTCATGATCAGGATGAACAGTAGTGGTGATAGATGGCACCCCTATCTCATGCCATTTGTAATAGGGAGGGGATCAGATAGTTGGCCATTTATCCTAATTCACGCTCGTGGCTGTGAGTACATGGATTGTATCCATTGTGACCAGTTCGGGCCGAAACCCATGGCTTTGAGGGTTGTGAATAGTAGGAACCAGTCCACCCTGTCAAATGCCTTTTCTGCGTTAATTGATAAAAGTAAGCTCTGGGTGTGCGAGTGTTGTGCCATGTGCATTAGGTTCAGTAATTTGGTGGTATTATTTTTGGCTTCGCGTTTGGGCACAAAGCTCACTTGGATAAAGAAGAGGTGGTTTTGCGCACACGCTGGATGAATAATAATATGATCTGTAACATAAACAGCTATCGTAGGACAATATGTTAAAAACAATATGTAATATAGAAAATAACTTATAAGTCGGCTCTCTACTGTAAAGGCATGTAGGATATTTCAGAAGAGTGCTGTGTGTAGACTGGTCCCACCAGAAACGGATATCAGATTTCGTCTGGATACAATCAGGAACCAAAATAAATTTAAAAGTAAAATACTTTATTTAAAATAAAAGAATTCCTTATAACAGGCACAACACGTTTTGACCACTCTCTTGGTCTTCCTCAGGTGCAATAATGTTATGTCACAATAACTTGCTTATATATTAGATACAAAAATGAAAAATTCCAAACACATGTAGAAAATATACAAAACCCACCCCTCAATGCCATATATGGGAGTTCCGGTATTCATTCCCTCCCAATATGGCGTACTAGCGTCTGTAAAAGTTGACCTTCTCATAATGGCCGCGTAATTCTGATGTTTCTCACGTGACTTCCGGTATTCGCGCCGATACGTCATTTACGTTTTCTGGCATCAAGAGACGTCATACAAATTTCAAGAAAAAATCTAATTTTTATCCTCAATTTTTAAAAACTCAAAGTATGAGAGTGTTTGAAAAAGCATGTTTGGAGGTGTGTGTTCCTACGTCTCGCCCAGTGCTGGCCGCATACTTGAAGCCGGTGTCCACCCCCATGACCACCGGTCCGTCGGGGGGGCAGCACAGTCCTGCCCCACCGGGCTCGCAGCTCCGGGGACTGGGCTCTCCGGGACCCCTCAAACCCAGAGGCCCGGGCATCCACCTCTCCAGCAGTCGAGGTCACAGCACGGTGGATCCGTCCGGCGCCCGGCCCAGCCAGAGCCTGTGCGGGCTGCTCACGACAGACCCCCTTGGTGCTTTTTTTTCAGGATTGGGGGCGTCCCCCCATAGGAGTTCTCCTTCCTCTCCTTGTCTGTGTCAGCGTCCGTTAGCTCACTGTTAATCAGTATCGCTCTTTACAGCTGGCTGGCCGTCTCCTTCTTTGCCATTGCCAGTGCCAGTTTAGGTGGTCGGCAAGGCGCCCCCGTGGGAGTTTCCGCTGCGGCATCCGTTGCCACCTGTGGCCGGGATATCCCCCGCCGGCCAGGGTGGGTGCCGGTTTCTCTCCTAGAGTGTCCATCTCTCTCCCCGGTGTCTCCGGGTCTGTATGTTCTCAACGGCCGCATGTACATAGGCTTATGGCAGCTAGTGGGCCGAGGGTATCTGTTTCGGCTCATCCGGGTTGCTACAGCCGTCTTCTAGGTATCTTATTAAAGCTGAGGATGTTCTCCATTGATTGGCGACGGAGTATTCTGCCCTAAAAGGGTCTGTAATATCTTTTAATAATCTCGATGCTGGAGCCAAGGCAAGTGGCTTCCAGCCGGCCCGGCCCCGCCCCCCCTTTGTCAGTTGTTTGTATGTGTCTAGGGTGTTGCTGTGTTTGTGTGTGTTTTCTAATGTTCTTATTTCCGTAAAGAGTGAGTTTGCTTGCTCCGTGCATTGTTTCTTGAGTTTGGAAGCCACTGCTATAAGGTGCCACCAAAGCACACATGTATGTGCCTCCCATACTACTGTGGGTGTTGTAGAGTGTAGTGTATTTTCATCAAAGTATTGCTTGATCGCTGTGTGGATGGATTCTGTGACTCTTGTATTTTTTTAATAATAAGTTGTTTAATTTCCACTGGAAGGAATGGGGTGGCAGGTTAGGGATCTGTATGGCAAGAGATAGGGGTGCATGGTCTGAGGAGAGGCGGTGAGTACTGTCCACGACTGGTGGGGTCTAGAAGCTTTAACGGTGTCTGGTTGTGCCTTTAGATGAGTTTGAGCCCGGCGAGGTATCCGAGGGATCATTCCTCCTCTGCTTAGCCGGGGTCTGCCACCTCTGTCGTTGCTGGAGTTGTAAGTGTGCTGTGACAGAGGTGGCAGACCCTGGCTGAGAAGAGGAGGAATGATCCCTCGGATACCTCGCTGGGTGCAAACACACCTAAAGGCACAAACAGACACTGTTAAAGCTTCAAGAGCCTGCCGGTCGTGGACAGTACTCACCACCTCACCTGGACAACGGTTCTAACATCCCATTCTCGTCCAGAGCATACAACACCTTCAATGCCAATGAACACATCCCCTCTTGCATGATTCCCTTATTTTAAACATAAGGACAGCTACCCATACACGTTAGTAACCCACAGCAGCACCTATACAGATCCGGACTGATCTCCAAAACCAGAAATCATACCCACGAGAGACTAAGTCACAGAACCTCATCAACTGTATTATCATGAACCAGATAACCTGAACGCTTACTGATCCCAGTGCAGCTCTCGCACCTGCATAATCAAATGGTTACTAGGACCTGGGCGCTAAACGTAACAATTATATCAATGTATTGAGTGTCATTGTTTTTCATTCATAAAGGTTGCCTACCCCTGTACTATACTAACAGTATAGCATGATAAACTATGTGTCTCACTTGTAGTGATGATTCAGCAATCATTCAGGTATCTGCATGATTTAAATATCTGTCAAGTTAGCTCATAGCAGCCACGCTTGTGATGAGTTGCACAGTGAGGCTCACAGTACACTTCCATACCAGGACTTTGCTATTTCATTTAATCTCCTGCCAAACCACTACAGCTGTACTACTGGACCCCACTGATACAGACACAGTAGGCAGACATGGCAATTATAACGGGTGCTAAGGCAGCTTTGAATGAACAGCAATAGGAGATGCAAATCATGGCGCAAATAATTTTTTTAACCTTTGGAAACTGCATATTTTAATACATTTTTCATTTTAAAAAAAACAAACAAGTATTATCACAGCTACGTGACAAGATACAACAATACCACACTTATGAAAGCATGTCCCTAACGTCTAGCAAAGACACATCAAAATTTATAAACACGTGAAAGACATGGGTGAAGCGCTATGGTTTGGATTCCGCAGGGAGTAGACAGGATAACCCACAAATCACGCAGGGAACCTCCTCATGAGGCCCAACCTAAATACTTACCTGATATGTCTGTACCGGCAAACAGTAGACAGTTGCCTACATTGGCCGCCTCCAAGGTCTGACCTATGGTTATCCCAACCATGTATTACTAGGAGAACACAGCTCTATTCTTCTCCTTCTAGTAAACCTAACTTCCATAGGGTCTTCCAATTCTTGTTCTACCAATTGTCTCTTCTCACCTCTCCTTCCTCTCCACTTTTCTTTATTCTTCCCTTTTATACACACAGTTATGATATTATATTTGATGTACATGTGCCTTGAATATGTATACTGTACAAGATAGCTAGTGCATTATCTAAAACTCAGGTGTTATGGCTGTCTACGTGGCATTAACTCTACCATACCTGTTATATTGTTCCATTAATGCTATTGTGACGGTCTGCCTGCACCCCGACCGGGTACCTCCATCAATTTTTGCTTCCTAGTACATGTGAGCACCATAAGCACTGCGCTGGAACACCATAGCCACCATAAACCCCACAAACCGCCGCAGCTTGGTTGGGATCTCGCCGTCCTCCACCCACCCTGGACCCAAGGCCAGGATCCAGTTACCAGTGGGTGAACCTCTCCTAGCCCAGAGAGCGTAGCAGGAACAGAGCTAGTGATTATACTCAGGGGAGTATTGTGATATAGCAATCCCCAGAGTGTATGTAGTTCTCCAATCCCCCAAACATGAGCCAAGACTTGATGAAGGGGTAAAGCATTCTGTTTAATGGAAGCCACAGCTGGCCTTTTATGCAAGTCCCCAAGCAAGGTATACTCCCACATGGACCTTGTTGGGGACAGGGACACAAACCAATAACCAACAGCAAGGTTACAAATGGTGACACTCCCAGTACAAACAATACAATCCCTCCTCTGAATCTGGGAGATAATTGAGTTAAGTGACTGGCTTAAACTCAATTATCTCTAGTACAAAAATAAATATTTACTCTTTTATTATTGCACAAAAACACTTTAAAATACAAAAGTCTTATTTTGTTTAACCGAACCCCCATAGTCTGCACATCCCCAGATAGCTTGGATCTGAGCGCACAACATATTAGAAAAGCGCTCAGATCCCACGAACATAGTCGGATCGCCACTGGAGAAAAGAATTGACCGACTGCTCTGGCGATGTCTACCCGGAAATAGTTCCCTAAGTTCAGGGGTAGCGGTCGGTCTAGTTCGAGAGTTTCATACAAAATTAAATTATGTACGAATAAAAAGGTGAACGGGGTTCCCTGGTGTATAGTCTGGGGTTTGTTCGGGAGTTCTGGACGAACAATCTGTTGAACAGCGCTCTCCTGGCTTGCCGCGACTGGAAGCAGGCGTTCGTACGTTTTCACCAGTGTTCGGGCCATCGAGTGGCCACCTCAGAGTTCCAGGCACTTGACGACAAAGTCCCGCTGCCTGCTTTCGTGCAACAAGATGGCCGAGAGCACTGAATTCCTGTGGTTAGTTTGAACTTAATGAGCCAGGGGGTGATTGGTGTTCGGTACTTTGACTCTGGGGAATAGGGATTTTGTCACAGCTTTCATTGTTGTTACCCCTTGAGAATGTAACCCATTTGTGCTCTGTACATGCTCTTGTATATACACATGTTGACCTGACTGTTTTTGAACAAAAAATGAAAAATAATAAACATTAAATTTTAAAAAAAAGTATTAAAATAGTAAAAGTAGAAGTTTCTTGCATGCTCATCTTACCTATATTGATGCTATACAAATATCAATGATAATATTGATGTAATCAATTATAATCTATAAACCAATAAAATACTCTGAATTTACTGTCATAATGAAGGAGCTTGAGATGATGTGTGCTTAATCCTTCTAAACAGATCATTAGAACATGGGTAGATTGTTGCTATAATTGCTGCTAATTTATTAATGTGGCCTGATGCATCTGCTAGCACCCCCAATGTTGCTAGTTATGGAGAAATATAAAATGGTTTATCAAGTAATTGAGTTATGTCATCTCTAACTGTTTCCAGAATGCCCAAATACCCCCACACACTCAGAAACAGTGGTAAATACATGGGGATTTGGGCACTTTGGAAACAAGTTAGAGATGGCATAACCCAGTAGTTTAAATTTGAGGTCATATATTTGTTGATCTTAAATATATTGGGGTACATGGGCCCAACCACAAAGATTAGGACCAATTAATTTGAAAGCATGTTATTGGGTCATAACATTCAAAAAGAGTCATGGTGTTAGGGAGAGATGTTATGTGTTCTGAAAGATAAAGTAATAAAACATCTGCTAAGCCCATAAGTTTGACTGTACAGGATCCCACTTGAATTCTTTTTATGTCCATGGAAGAATAAATATATCTGATAAGGGGTATAGGGCTATGTTGAAGAGAATACTTCTGAGTCTAGGCTGTTGACATTGATTTTAGTGGACTGTTATGTGGACAAAGCTCTCATGATATTAAAGTATGGGATGACAAAAAAAGTGATATTTTAGTGTTCTAAAAATACAAGGCCAGGTCATGTGGTCAAAGGCTTTTTGAGCGTCTAAGCTGAATAAAACTGCTTGGCATTTTTCTAAGTGGTTATCATACAAAGAAACGGAAGCAATTGCCATCCTTATTCACTGAATGGATGGTCTACCTCTATTGAATACCAGTTGTTGAAGATGTAAGATAGATGGAAGTAATTGTTGAAGTCTGTGATTGGCCTATAGGATGGGAGAGCTGAATCTTTGTTGGGTTTTGTTATTTGAATTTTTCTAGATAGTGTAAGGGGTGTAATTGGCATTTAAAAAGGGTTGTTAAAATCTGGGTTTTCAGGATTTTGTAGTAGTCAATTACAAATCAGTCAATTCCTGGGCCTTTTTGTGCCCTTGATGTTTCTATAGACCAAACTACCTCTTCCTCCCTAATGGGGGCATTAAGGATTTACAGTAACATTTAACAATGCCTGAACTGTTTCCACCAGGCAGGATGGATCCATGAATTAATGTTTATGTAAAATTTTTAGCCTATCATTTGCATTTATCAACAGATTCTTTAGACCAAGAGACATTTTTCCTATCTTCTACTTTCCAGTTTTTGCTGCAATTATAGCCTCAGTTTTCTGTTCTTAGGAGACAGGAGTGAAACCTTTTGCTGCTGTAACAAACCACTAAAAGGTACAAAATGTTTAGATATGGTCTGCATAGCACAGCTGAAACACATACAGAGTTATTCACTAATGTGAAATTGTTGGAAATTCAAAGTGAATTCAAAGCAAATTTCATATTTAAAAAGAAAATTACCACAATTTAAATATTCTCCAAGTCATCTACGTTTTCTCTTCAGCTATTTTGGCTTTAACGTTGAAATTCACTTTGAACTATCGACAATTCTCTTATTAGTGAATAATCCTGATGGTTATATAATTTATAGTTACCCGCTTGTTAGCCTGAACCAGTGAAGCCTAGTTTAGCCTTTGTTTTATTAAGGTGTTTTTGCCTGGAGAACTGCCACTCACTGGATGATTTTGTGTTTTTGCACAATTCTCAGCTGTTTATGAGTTACTCAAACCACTGTTGATGCTTACTTTGAGCAACAAATTAATCTCACATTTTTTTTAAATATTGAAGTTTTGAGAGCATACAAAATAGTCTGTACAATGCCATAAGGTATTTCATCTGATACGAACGAACAATCTTATAAATCACAAATGTTATCCATTTGCCCAAATATAAAAAAAGGGAAAAGAGAAATATAAAAAAAAAGGAAGGACATGTAAGTAATAATTTTCCTCAAGAGAGAGGTCATCCCCCCATTTTGTCATATGCGACTACTGAGCACATCTGAATACTTGAATGTATTGAGCTGAAGCCATATGATTAGCATAGTGAACAGTTGTAGAAGTGGACTTATTATAGTTGCCAGTGAGTGTACTGTATAGACGATACTTTAGAGGAATTACGAGATATCAAGGAAAAACACCCAATTATTTTGAGCAGTTCTTTTCACAATATAAAGAGAATATTATCCTTTTATTTAATTGTAGTATTGAAACGTGTTTAAAGCTTTAGGTTTACTTGAGATATGGAGACAAAAATGGGTTTATACATCAAAATAAAATTAAAAGTAGTGATATTTATGATAATTTTATTTAAATGTCGGAAAAGTATTAAAATTATTTCTGCAACTCTGTGTGGAATGTAAGTAAATGCCAAGCAATCCAATTCACGAAGAGCACTGTCATGAAACTACACTGGTCATTAGTGGTTCTACCACACCCTGATGAAATATGGGGCATTCTTGGAGAGCTGCCTCAAAGGCATGGCCATTAGAAACTCTGAGGAATCTGTTGCTTGAAATCTCAGTAGTGGTATTTGTAATGTGATCGCATGTAGAAGGTTAAAAGAACATTGATTTCCATCGCTCTTAGCTACCATTTAATACACAAACTTAATCTCTAAGTCAGGATAACTTTACTAAAACATGCAAGGAATCCAGATGTGTTTGTGGCGTACACACAACCGAAATATTTCCAGATTTCAGACCAAAACGGTCTTCAATATTAACAGGGCTCTGGGCAGACTTTGCTTGTGGACCCACTCTGTCCAACTTTTTGGTTCTATTTCTTTTCCCCTAATAAGGGCCCAGTAATTGTTTGTGTGTGTGGTCCAAGCTAGCCAAGCATGCAAGAGTAAAGTTACTAACCAAAAGCAACAAAATAATTTAAAGTGGTATTTATTCATGGAGTATCCCTTTAAACCTTCTACAGTCAATGGGTGTCTGCTTAATTTTAGTAGTATATCAGACAAGGTAAAATTAAATTTGTCTTCAGGTGTTTGTTTTGCCATTTTCCCCACGGATCTGATTTCTGTTTAAACCAAAACCCTGTAAGGTATATCATCCAATCTCAGGCTTCTAGTGGTTTCTACTGACTTGCACGAAATACTCTATTTTTTAATTTCCAAGTGGATTCAATGACTCTTAGCAGGAGTCTTTGAAGTAGAAACAATGACTAGGTTTCCAGGTAGGATCCCTTACTACCTCAAGTTGAATGATGGCGATAAGCTGTATTTTTTTTTGTTTGGGACAAAAGTTGCATATTTCTGAACTCTCACCGACAACAATATAGGATTAAAAGAAGTGTTATATGGTTGCAAATAAAACATGTCAGCTCATTATACACGTGTATTGAACTGAAACAAGTTGCCAACCAGATTTACACACACATAAAAAATGTAGTTGAAGCACTTGCATATGCAATAATTGATTTGGGGTATTTAGTAATGCCGTTTGGGGATTTCCTCTGGAGTCTCCAACAAGTGCAACATTTGGAGAGTAGTACACAAACTAGAACAATCCCACCAGATGTCGCCACACTTAAGAGGTATGAAAGTAGTCAAAGCCATATATGTCAGTTTTCAAATTAACTATAATATGTACCAAAACTGTCCACATTCTTTTCTACATTCTTTTCTTGTAAAGCGCTGTGGAATTTAATGGCGCTATATAAATATCATAATAATAATAATAATACATGGAACTTTAAATAATCATAAGTGGTTGCGAGTGTAACGGCACCCCAGTCATAAAAGGGGTTAAACGCCGTTTAGAGGATATTCCCCTTCCAGATAACCAGGCAGCTACCAAAGACTACCGAACAGGAAACCATATGAATGCCGTAAACAGCTGAACCGGAACCATACAAATGCTGTAAACAGAATAGGAAAAACCATACGATTAGGTTTACACTCCTAGCTGTCAAACTGGAACAGCATACAATAAATCCCCCCAAGAACGAGACAAGGCTCCGTTTTGAGGGTCAAGCAGGAACAGACAGAGGTGTGGGTTTATTGTTGTTATTTACACATTCTTACACATTAGTACCACCCACAGGGTTTTGTAAAACAACCAATAAACACATACAATACACTCAGACACTCCCACACAATATCCTCCCCTCTGCCTTTGATACAATTACCTTACACAATGGGTTAATGTAATTATCACAGGCAGAGAAATACAGTTTTTCCACATTATTCATAACTTTAAAAGTATACATCACACTCACATTTTCAGAATCAGCATACTCCAAATACAAACATATGTCAAAATCATCCAAATTGGTCCATTGGTTCGAAAGATAGATCGAAATCCTTTGTGACCAAATGAAGCATGGCTTTTCTGCCCAAAACCAGTTCCACAGTGTCTTCTATCCTGGAGATATTTGGGAAGTAATCCAATTATCTCCAAGGACAGAGGATAAACTCCATTGAACACATGGTAGCAAAAGACAATAAAATACATAAAAATATATAACTGTGCAGCTATTGCATAAAACAGGTACATTCAACATAGCCCCAGATAGCTTAGATCTGAGCACAAATTATTACTGAATGGCACTCAGATCACATACATACAGTTCAATTGCCATGAAGCCAAAGTCTTTCACATAGTGTTTCGTTATACAAATGGGCTCCATGGCATAGCTATCTGGGGTATATCACTGTTCAAATAGGGCAAGTACCGAATGACCCAGCTTTCGTGTCTTTGCAGGGGAAAATCAAGCCTTTCAACAAGGGGCCATAGTCTAAAGGCAGCAGGCGGGCAAACAGGCTCCTCCAATGCACAGTGGCGAGATTGGTCTCGTCACAGCGAGCTTTAGTAATTTGCATTCTGGATTCTCTATGGTCAATAGGCACAAAATCCTTTTACAATATCATCAAGTCTTTCCTAAAGTGACTGTATCTTCAGACTTCTAAACATACTTGGTACAGCGCTTATTGTATTAAAATAAGGTCAAGGATACCCTCAAAGTCACACTCTATGCCACTCATTAGCTCACCATTGTTACATTTTTTTTACTTTTTACCAAAGAAGAACTGCTAATTGGCTTAGAGTGTCAGCTGACTGCTCTAGCCAGTGGTATCAGTGGTGCCCTTGGCCGGGCAGAACACTGCACTTCCTGTAACTGAGAATCAGAAGCAGGATGCTGCCTGGAGAACTTGGAGTTTGGCGGTAGAGTAAACTTTTGGGGTTAAACCGTTTAAGAACGGTTTAACCTGTTAAGGTAAGAGTGTGCCCGGGGACCACATGGCACCAAGAGAACTTCATTTATTTATGATTCTTTATTTAATAAAATATTTAAATGGTTACAAAAAGAAGACATTAAACATGTTCTATTTATATTTATACATTATGAACAATAAAATGTGAGCATCATTACATTCAAATCAGTAGTCTTTATTAAATCTACTGAATACTATTTAACTGAGTGCAAAGGATATTCCTTTCATACTTCATTCATACAAGAAAGAAGAAAAATAAATAAATAAAATAAGTAAATAAAAAAAAGAAAGAAAGAAAAGGCCCTTCAGGATTACGGGGATCATGTCGCAAGATACATTTGGGGGACATAATTCTATGTTACTTCAATTTATATTTTGAGAATCCTTATATTGTGTCCACGGATGCCAAATTTGTCTATACTTATCAATATCCCCTTTCGAAGTATAAAATGCACATTCCATTCTACATTGAAATTCTAATTGGGTTTGTACTTCTACCCAACTTGTTGGTTCTATTTTTTTCCATTGTCTTGCTACGCAAATCTTACTAGCCATTAGAATATGTTCAATTAGATTTTTGTGTATTTTACTACCAATAGGAATATCAATATTAAACAAAAACATTTGTTGGGAAATAGTATGGATATTTGGGAACAGATATTTAAGTAGATTGCGTAAGCTTATTTTTAATGAATTCAGCCGTGAACATTCCCACCAAATATGATAAATAGTGCTAATGTCTAAAAGACATCTCCAACAAAGATTTGAGTTTGATTTAGAAATGTTGTACATTCGTTGTAGAACCATATACTAAATGGAAGATTAATTTATAGTGTAGTTCCTCAAGTGTTATACAGTGAATATTACGTGTAACGAGTGCTGTTCCAGTAATCCATTCCTCCATTGAAAAGGAACAATTCAAATATTTCTCCCATTTAAGGATGGGGGTGTGTTTAGTCATATTTTCACTATGATTTAGTAATTTAATTGTTCTAGATTTCTGTCCCTTTTCCCTTGAATTTATTATAAAATTTTCAAGAATATGGTTTGGTAGAATAGATCTGGACAAGAGAACACTTTTAATCTAAGATAAGTAAATAGTTCATTATTTGGTAATCCACATTGAATCTGTAACTGTGGGAAAGGAATTATCTTATATTGATTAACTATGTCTGCTAAGCAAATTAGGCCATTCTGAATCCATAAGGTAAGATTTAAATCAGTAATATAATCTTGTAAGGCCTCTAGTGGTGTCTTTAAGAGCAAATTATTGGTTATACTCATTTTTTCTTTATTTTTTATGGTACTCAAAGAATCCAATATAATGGGGTTAGAGGTTTTAGAGATTAAGATGTTTTACGTCGGACCTTATGATATTAGGGGGAAAGTATGGTAGACAGTCTTGGCTCTCCATTTCAAACCAGATCATATCAGAATAATATGGGGCATTCCAAGATAGTACATGTGTAAGCATACATGCTTCATGTAAGGTGCTCAATTCTGGAAAAGATACCCCAACCTTATTCTTTTGTAGTATTCAAATTGTATTTGATTTTCTAGGTTTCAGCCCCATCCATATAAAATCAGGGATTTTTTTTTTATATTTCTGGAGTATACTGGATTAACTCTAAGGGGGATTGATCTTAATAGATATACTATTTTTGGTATTATATTGGCTTTTATTAAATTGACTCTTCCTAGCCACAATATTTCAAATCCTTTCTATTTGATCAGTAGCTGCTTCATTAATTTCAATTGATCTATATAATTTTGCTCAAGTAAGGGCTTTAAAATCAGAGCTCAATTTAATGCCCAAGTAATCTATAAACTTGTTATTCCAATTAAAATGATATAGCTTTTTTAACTCGTCCATCTCTCCCTCGTGTACCCAAGCTGTCGAGATCTGTGTTTTATGTAAATTAATTTTATAATTAAAATATATACTGTATTGGTCAATAAGTCTTAAAGCAGCGGGAATCGAGGCCAATGGATTCGTGAGGGAGAGGAGCACATTGTCAGCAAAAGTGTTATCTTATGTTCGGCAGGGCCAGCTCGGACTCCCCCGACCTGTGTTGATTTCTTTATCATTATAGCTAATGGTTTGATTGTTAGTATGTACAATAGAGGTGCCAGCAGACATCCCTGTCTGGTTCCATTCCGAATAAGAAATCTGTCTGATACAAAATTAGGACCGATAATCCTTGCAGTGAGATCTGAATATAAGTTCATTATATTATTCTTAAAAATTCCAATGATATTCTTTTCAATACCAGATCAAGGAAATCCCAGCTGACCCTGTCAGAAGCCTTCTCTGCGTCCAAGGCTAACAATAGTGAACTAGTTTGTTGTAAGTTTAATCTGTGTAGAAGGTTAAGTATTCTACGGATATCGTCAGTTATGCTCCTTTCGTGAACCAGGTCAGGCATTATGATGCTCAAATGGTCAGCTAAGATTTTAGCATATATTTTTATATCAGTATTTATAAGTGAAATAAGCCTATAATTTGAAGTTATTGAGGGATCTTTACCTCGTTTTAATATCAGAATTATTGATGCTTGTAACATTTCACGTGGTATTGTTTTATTACTAGATATTTCAGTAAAAGTTTCAGTAGTAAAGGAGCTACTAAATGATCAATTTTTTTATAAAATAGGGCTGAAAAGCCGTCAGGGCCAGGTGCCTTACCCTTTTCTAATTTTTTAGTTTTAATATAGTTATAGCTCTATTAATTTGTTCATATGTTTTCTCGACTATTATATTCTAATCCGTGTGATCTCAATAATTCGATCAGGGTTTATCTGTATTTTATTTAATCTTTCTAATTTTGCAAGCTCAATCTGGTATTCTGAAAGATCCTTCTCTCTATTCTTTTCTAATCTTGATCCCAGTTTTATTAATATTCCACGCGAAAAACACTTAAATGTACACCACAATGTGGGGAAAGGACATACTCCATCATCACTGAATGATAGAAATTCTTCTAACTCAAGGGATATTTGATTTAAATTTGAAGTATAGTTTAATAAGGTTTCATTCAATCTCCAATTAGTCCTAGTCTTAAATTCTTGGTTATTATTAAATTCTAAAAATAATGGAGCATGGTCTGACCATACGATTGAACCTATAGTAGTTTTTACTACTTGGTTCAAAAAATTAGATATCACAAAGAACATATCTAAATGGGAATAAGATTGATGGACGTGCAAGAAAAATGTATAGTCCCGTTCATTAGGGTGAAAGGTCCTCCAGCAATCATATTATTATTATGTTATTTATATAACGCCATCAAATTCCGCAGCGCTTTACAATGGGTGGACGAATAGACATGTAGTTGTAACCAGACAAGTTGGACACACAGGAACAGAAGGGTTGAGGGCCCTGCTCAATGAGCTTACATGCTAGAGGGAGTGGGGTAAAATGACACAAAAAGGTAAAGGTAGTATTAGACTAGTGACAGTTGCAGAAGAGGAAACAGTCAGGAGCTATTAACAGTTTAATTGATACGCTTTTATGAAGAAGTGGGTTTTTAAAGATTTTTTGAAGGAGTGGCGACTGGGTGAGCATCTAAGGGAGGAAGGAAGCGAGTTCCACAAGAACGGTGCAGCCTCAAGAAATCTTGAAGGCGAGCATCAGAGGTGGGAGTACGGACAGAAGATAGACGTAAGGCTTCAGCAGATCGTAAGGGCCTAGACGGGACATACTTGTGTATAAGGGAGGATAGATAGGTGGGAGCAGTATTATGTAGCGATTTGAAAGCAAGAACCAGAATTTTAATTTGAGCTCTATATTTTATAGGAAGCCAATGTAGGGACTGACAGAAGGGTGAGGCATGGGAGGTGCGGGTGGACAGGAAGATGAGCCTCATTGATTATGCATTGATTATGCACTGCAACGGCGCAAGTTGGGAGCACGTAAGACCACTGAGAAGTGGATTACAGTAGTCAAGGTGAGAAAGGACAATGAAATGGACCAACACCTTAGTCGCATCTGGCGTTAATTAGGGGCGGATGCGCGCAATGGTTTTGAGATGGAAATGACTGGATTTGGCGATAGATTGAATATGAGGCTTGAAGGAGAGGTCAGAGTCAAAGAGAACACCTAAGCAGTGAGCCTGCGTGGTGGAGCTGATGGTAGCACCGTTGACTTGGAGACAGACAGACACAGGAGTAACAACACTTGAGGGAGGAAAGACCAGAATTTCAGTTTATATAAAGTATGGCCAGTTATAATATCCTGAAAAGATTGGGATATACTGTAGATTTAAGACGTGGATCATATTTAGTGGTGCCTGTATTGTTTTTGTCTAGTAGTGTGTTCAAAATGCAGTTAAAATCTCCTCCCAGGATAATATGACCTTGAGAAATGGATTCAATTTCATCAATCGTATTACTAATAAACTTAGTTGGTGCTTGATTTGGGGGAGTAGATATTTGCCAAGGTATATGGAATATCATTGATCTTCGCAATCAGTACATGGTATCTCCCCTTATTGTCCTTTATCTCGGGGATATATTCAAATTTAACTCTGGCTGAGATTATTGTTGCCACTCCTCCTCTTTTTTTTTCTTTCTTTCCCCTGAGATTAGAAACAAATTATTGGATAGTCTTTAAATCTCCATAGTTTTTTTGGTATATCTATCCTGTGAGTTTCTTAAGTAAACATTATTATTATTATTACTTTATTATTTATATAGCGCCAACAAATTCCGTAGCGCTGTACAATGGGTGGACTAACAGACACATAATTGAGATCAGACCACTGACGTACAGGAACAGAGGGGGTTGAGGGCCCTGCCCGATGAGCTTACATGCTAGAGGGAGTGGGGTATAGTGACACAAAGGGTTAAAGTAGGGGAATTAAATAGTTTGTTACAGAAGGGTTTATTGAGTGCTTGGTAGGTCATTTTTGACAGGTGAAGGAACGGAGTCATGGGGTGGGGGATGAGAAACCTGCTGACAGTTTAATTGATACGCTTTAATAAAGAAGTGAGTTTTCAAAGATTTTTTGAAGGAATGGAGGCTGGGTGAAAGTCTGATTGAGGAGGGAAGGGAGTTCCACAGAATAGGTGCAGCATCAGAGGTGGGGATCCGGGAAGAGGATAGGCGTAGAGGTGGGGATCCGGGAAGAAGATAGGCGTAGGTCTTGGGCTGAGCGCAGGGGTCTCGTCGGGACATACTTGTGTATGAGGGAGGATAGGTATGTTGGAGCAGCATTATGTAGGGATTTGTAAGCAAGCGCCAGAATTTTGAATTGGGCTCTATATCTAACTGGAAGCCAATGCAGGGACTGACAGAGCGTGGAGGCGTGGGAGGTGCGACCGGACAGGAAAATAAGCCTCGCAACCGTATTCATTATAGATTGCAGTGGTGCAAGCTGGGAACATGTAAGACCGGTGAGAAGGGGATTGCAATAGTCAAGGCGAGAGAGAACAACAGCATGAACCAGTACCTTAGCCGCGTCCGGCGTTAGATATGGGCGGATGCGCGCTATGTTCTTCAGTTGGAAGTGACAGGATTTGGCTATCGATTGAACATGGGGAGTAAAAGAGAGCCTGGGAGGTAGAGGTGATAGTAGCGCCGTTGACTTGGATGGCGACAGACACAGGAGTAGCAGCACTTGAGGGAGGAAAAACTAGAAGTTCTGTTTTGGACAGATTGAGTTTAAGGAAGTGAGCAGCCTTCCAGTTGGAAATAGCAGAGAGGCAGTCAGAAACACGAGTCAAGGTGGGGGGAGAGAGATCAGGGGAGGACAGGTAGATTTGCGTGTCATCTGCATATAAATGGTATTGGACGCCAAAAGAGCTGATGAGTTTACCAAGGGAGGCAGTATAGATAGAGAACAGTAGGGGGCCGAGGACAGAACCTTGGGGGACGCCGACAGGGAGGGGTTGGGGAGAAGAGGCAGAGCCAGAGAAAGAAACACTGAAGGAGCGCTGGGAGAGGTAGGAGGAGCACCAGGAGAGAGCAGAATCCCGTAGACCAAAGTTACGGAGAATGTGAAGAAGCTGTTGATGATCAACAGTGTCAAAGGCGGCAGAAAGATCAAGGAGGATTAGGATAGAGTATTGGCCGCGAGATTTAGCAGAAATTAAATTGTTGGATACTTTGGTCACAACAGTTTCGACAGAGTGACCAGCGCGGAATCCAGACTGAAGGGGGTCAAGCAGAGAGTTGGATTCAAGAAAGTCTGTCAATCTGGCGTAGACAACTCTCTCGAGGATCTTGGAGGCAAATGGCAGTAGCGAGATAGGGCGGTAGTTGGATGGGGAGTTGGGATCGAGGTTGGGGTTTTTCAGAATTGGGGTTACGGTTGCATGTTTGAAGGCAGAGGGAAATGTGCCAGAGGAAAGGGAGAGATTGAAAATGTTAGCGAGAGGAAGAGAAAGAGAGGGAGACAAAGTGCGGATGAGATGCGAGGGAATAGGATCGAGGGAGCAGGTGGTGTTATCAATTTTATTTTATCTCATTAGTTTATATAGGCAACCTTGTTTTTGAGGAGAATTAAGTCCATGTACATTTAAAATAGCTATTCTAAGAGTCATTCTCTATTCTGGTTATATTCATCCCCAATTCCCCCCAATAGTCCGCATGATCTGGAAAGGGAAAAAAAAAAAAAGGAAGAACTCCCCCCCCCCTATTTGGAGGTAGTGAAAAAAAAGCACTCTCTCAGGACAACACAATGCCTTGCATAACTTAAAATTGACTAGGAATATACTGAAATCCTAATGAGGTGTAGATAATGCCCAAGGCAGAGTACATGGATCAAAGATTATACCACAAAAAACATTCTAGAAAGAAAAAGCATGTTACATGCACAGCATATACAAAACAGCCATTATGCGAGTCACCCAGACTGTGAAACAAAAAGACTAGTATAAAAAGTGGAAATGTTCCATCAAATTAAATGGTGAATTGCAAAAAGAAAACATATGCTATATAATAACATGATCTCAGTGCTAAAAACACAAACAAGAGACAAAACAAAATTAAAAGGATAGCAGGTTGCAAAACAAGGTAAATACACAAAGATAAATAGTTTACACCCAGAGAAAAAAGGGAGATGTTTCCACCAGGAAACTGAAATAAAGAGTGCATTGTAATGAATGAGAAGAAAGGCTTTCAAACATTTACACTGCTCAAAAATCGCATTTACACGAATGACCCACAACAACCATCAGTGAAACACAAAAAGAGAGAAACAAACAAATAATAAAAAAACAAAAACCAACAACAATGTATGATACACACAAAATAGAGGTTTATGGTTTCAATACATGTGTGTTTCCACAACAGAGAGGCCCACATAATGCACAGAGAGAGAAGAATCTTTGCAATCTTTACAGGATCTAAATATTAGTGGAAGCAATTATTATGACCAAGAAATTAACATAAGCATGATCCATGGGTATGAATACTGGACCAGTAGGTTCGGTTGATGATTACGTGGTGTCAAATCCATGTGATTGGGTGATTACCTTATTGCAATAGTTTCATAGGATATATATATATATATATATATACACATAATTAAGGTCAATGGCCAAAACATATTGTTTTTATTGTGTGCGAAGCCTTTTAATAAACAAAGTTTATTTTTATTTTCCAAACATCTGTTTGAGATGTCTCTGTCTGTTGAATGTAGTACTGACAGTGGGTTGGAGGCCCTGCAACGGGAACAGAGCTCCAGGGATTTGGTAATTATAATATGAATGACACCCATTTACTACCTCCAGGTTTGGAACAACACTAGACAAATGTCAAGTTTTGTAAGTTCAGTGATGCACTGGTATAGATTTTATGGATGTAAATTTAACACAGATAACCATTAACCTATTGTAACATATTTAAAGGGATACTATAGTCACTATATACAGCTATATACAGCTTAATGTAGTTGTTCTGGTGAGTATAATCATTGCCTTCAGGCATTTTCATGCAAACACTGCATTTTCACTGCCTAGGGACACCTCCAAGTGGAAACTCCTCAAATGGCCACTGGAGGTGCTTCCTGGGGCAGTGCTGCACAGTAGGCAGCACTGCTGTTCAGCTGAATTTTCCTCATACAGGTGCTCTGATTTAATGCATAGCTATGAGGAGGTGCTGATTGGCCAAAATGGTGTTTGGTCCCGTCCCATCCCGCCTCATTGCCTAAGGAAAAGAATTGGATTGGCAAAAAATCGGCAATTCTGATGATGTCACCAGGGACACAAATTGGGGGCAGGGCCAGTGCCAGCGGATCTGCACGGTGCCTGAAATAAGGTGAGTTTTAATTACTTTAAGGGAGTTAAGGGGAGGCACATGTTTGTGTTCCTGACCATAAAGTGTTCCTTTAACATATATACTGGGAACATGTTCTATGTCAACAGCTTGGAAAGAACTAATGACAAACTGATGCAGCTGAATCCCAATATACATGTACATGTATTTCAACTCACAATGAGGGTGACGAAACTTCCACATATGACGACCCATGCTGAAAGGGTGCCAATTAATCTATTTAAAAATTGTTTTACAAACACCACAGGGACTGCAGTCAGAGTGTTCTTGCACCATAAGTACTGTAATAACCTGTAGATGTTAGTTACTCCAAGCACCATAACCACTTGTGATCAATACCACTATGTGCAGAGTATCTCTGCACATACAGAGATACTCAGGTTAGCTGCTGCAAGTGTAACTCCACCTTCCATGCACAGATGATCATTCAATGGCTGACACTTGCAGTCAATAAATGACCACAAGGATAGCCACCTGACCTTTGCAGCTCTGCAGAAGATGGATGTGTGTCACTTGGCATTGGATTAGGCTGGGTGTCTCTACATGTAATCTATATAAAATCTTTTTTCAAATTGAGCAATTAAAAAAAAGTGTTATCTGTGGTGACACAACATTTTTAAAGGACAGTGATACCAATTCAACTTGGAAGAGAAAAACACAGTAGGATATGTGAGTCCTTACAGGTTTCCAACCTATCAGGAATGTATAGCATAAAAAAGGGAGGCTGAGAAGCACAATCTCATGTATACATTGAATTATCAGTGGGGGTTTTTTTTGGGGGGGAGGGGGGGTTTAATGCTTAAAAAAGTTTTATAATATAATTACAGTTAAATAAAACAGGTAAAAGAACATGACAACACTGGAAAGAAATACATTTTGTTCTAAAAGTTGACGTTTCTTTTTGATTAAGTAATAAAGTTACTTACCTCCAATCCAAATAAAACATTTTAGGGGTTTGGATTGTTCCTTTAAAGTAAACCTTTAAAATTAAATCCTGTCAATAGCATTACATTAAACTGGTACAGATTGTGTGGATAATAGGTAGGTACCTTTATAATCTATATAGTGTGCTAGCAAAGTCTCCACAAATTCTATACATTTAACTTACGTGAGTATTATTTACTGGAGACATCCTCCACATATAGCATGGTACCCTGTATTGGCTTCACTTGGATAGAGTCACAGCACATGTACGCTGTCCCTTCTCCAAATTTTATAACCTTATATCACAACTCCTTGAATGCATATTTAGAATTCCTCGTATGACAGCAAGGCAATTTAGGATGGACCATGCCATTCATTATACAGAGAATAACATGGAATTACCTCTCATACTCCACTCACATCATCTCACGTGTACTAATAATAAAGTTACAAAATTGCTTAAAATTCAAGCAAGCGGATGAATAAGAGCTAGTCAGATGGCTGAGAAGTGTGGCTAGGAAATGTTATATTACAATCAGAAAGAATGGCATAATTGGAAACATCTTAAAGTTAATGTTTCATAATCAATTACAAATATTAAAGCATGAGTAACATTTATCCCAATAAAGAGATTTAAAAAAAATGGAGAGAGAGAGAGAGAGAGAGAGAGAATAGAAACAGTGAAATAGGGCTGCACATTTCCAGTCTCAAAATTATTCAACCCCCTGAGTGGAATCCCTCACAACTGCATATATATGCAAAAAAAGGTGTTGTCTTGAGCACACCTGTTGCAACTAACCAAGAGCTTCATTAGCTGCACCGGGTGTGCTTCAGCTGGAACACTTGAAATATCTGAACTGGCTAAGGGTTTGTTGAGTGTTACATATGACTGCATGTTAGAAATAGTTAGTCAAAAGAATGGTCCACAAAGTTATGAGAAGAGATCATCACTTTTCACAAACAAGGAACAAGATACAAAAAGATAATGAAAGTAATGAATGTTCCTAGAGACACTGTTGGAAGCATAGTTCGCATGTTTAAAATTGAAGGGACAGTTTTTACACTACCTGGACGGGGCAGAAAAAGGAAACTATCAATGACTGCAACCAGATTTCTGAAAAGGCAGGTTGTGAAAAATCCCTCAAGTAAACACAGTGTTATAGCTCCTGTGGGCCATAGTGAAGATCTCTGATCTTCCTACCAGTCTGTGAAGGCACACAGCAGGGCTGGCACTTGGATAGCGTGATCCTGCATGGGAGATGGGGGAGGCAAGGGAGAGGGAGCGCTGTAAAATTTCTTGGGGGTGGGGGCAATTGCTCCATTCCCCCCCCACTCCCAGATCCACCACTGATGCCAGGACTCCAAGACATACACCACTAATGACCCAAAAGTACAAGAAAAGTAGGCCCCAATATGGTCAAAGTCATATGACTAAGCAACATACGTTTTGGCATTTTGTTCTGCAGATCGATGAAAAAAAACTGGCCCAACAGATCAACGATATGTTTGGAGGTAGAATGTTGAAGCATATGTTTAAAAGTACAATCTGCCTACAGTTTAGCATGGTTGTGGCCCGGGGATGCTCTGAGGCTGCATCCTCTGGCACTGCATGTGGAAGGCAAGATGGACTACTTGAAGTATCAGGAAATTATAGGAGAAAATGTCATGCCATCTTTGAGGAAGCTGAAGATTGGGCATCAGTGGACCTTCCAACAACCTTCCTAAGCATACATCAAATTCCACCAAGGCTTTATTGCAGAAGTAGTCCTGGAAAATTCTACAGTGGCCATCCCAGTCACCTGATTTGAGCCCCATAGAAAATTCTTGGTTGGATTTGAAGAAGGTGGTTGCAGCACAAATACCCAAGAACATTACTGAACTGGAGGGCTTTGCTCATGAACAATGGTCTAAGATTCCTCAGGAACGCTGCCTAGAAGCTAGTGTCTGGCTATGCATCTCGTTTACAACAGGTCATAACAGCAAAAGGGTGCTCTATTAAGTACTAAAGATGCTTGCCATGAAGCAGTTGAATATTTGTGAGACTGGAGAAGACATTATAAGTTATGCAGGTACAATTGACAGAATGCGCCAAGAGAAGTACCAACATTTCAGTAATAGTAAGGGTGTAAAGAGTAAGAAATGGTAATAGTGGACAATAGCTAGAACCCCCACACAAAAATGGTGTTAGAACTACAGATGCTTTTTTCAGAAAGAACTATTTTATCTTGCAATATATTGGGTAGATAAATGTAATTTAATTCTTCATTCTGTTAAGAGTAGTCAGACCATTTTGTATAAACTGTGAAGATGTAGAGGCTGAAGTCTAAATTTTAAGCCCCCACCTTTAATACATATGTGACGATAACATCTCAAAAGGAAACAAAAAAGTAAAGTAAACTGATACTTTATACCAATTACAATGTGCATTCTTTGAAAATCTTGGTATTCACATTTTTAACTCCCAGATGGTAGTGCTGCACATGTCCCACAAACAGTATATGTTGGTTACCTGTCAGCTATCTACAGAAAGCTGTACACCATGCAATGAAGCTGTAAGAGCTATCATGTTAAAACAAGCTAGAAAGCAAGCCAACAGAATACACCAAAATACATCTATTATCTTGCTCAGTAGCTTAATTATGTACTAGAGAGTGTATGTGTGAGCCACTGCAGCACAAGTTCTCCAATGGAAAACTATGAAAGAATCTTAGCTATACTACATGAGCATGCTACACCAAACACTGCGGACAAATACTTCAAATATTTTTAGTAAGTAATTGTAGCTATAATGAGTAGAATGGTGGAAGGTTAAAGGGACACTCTAGTCACTAGAATAACTACAGCTTAATGTAGTTGTTCTGGTGAGTATAATATGTCCATGCAGGTGTTTTGCAGTAAACACTGCATTTTCAGGGAAAATGCAGTGTTACATTATTGCCTAGGGACACCTCCAATGGAAGTCACGCAAATGGCCTCTAGTGGTGCTTTCTGGGTCAGTGTGCAGCACTGACTTCAGCGGCTCGATATTGAACAATCCCCATAGAGATGCCTTGGTTCAATGCATCTTAATGAGGAAATGCTGATTGGTCAGTGTGGCATTTTGCTCTGCCCCGGCTCCTTGGCTGAGATCATCAGAATCCCTATGGAAAAGCATTGTGATTGACTAAGATCATCAATTCTGATTATGTCAGCCAAGGACTACCCAAGCAAGGAGCACAACCATAAATTTATACAAAAATCTTTATTATTATTATTATGATATTTATAGAGCGCCGTCAAATTCCGCAGCGCTTTACAATGGGTGGACGAACAGACATGTAGTTGTAACCAGACAAGTTGGACACACAGGAACAGAGGGGTTGAGGGCCCTGCTCAATGAGCTTACATGCTAGAGGGAGTGGGGTAAAATGACACAAAAAGGTAAGGATAGTATTAGACTAGTGACAGTTGCAGAAGAGGAATCAGTCAAGAGCTATTAACAGTTTAATTGATACGCTTTTATGAAGAAGTGGGTTTTTAACGATTTTTTGAAGGAGTGGAGACTGGGTGAGCATCTAACGGAGGAAGGAAGCGAGTTCCACAGGAACGGTGCAGCCCTCGAGAAATCTTGAAGGCGAGCATCAGAGGTGGGAGTACGAACAGAAGATATACGCAAGTCTTCAGCAGATCGAAAGGGCCTAGACGGGACATACTTGTGTATAAGGGAGGATAGATAGGTGGGAGCAGCATTATGAAGAGATTTGAAAGCAAGAACCAGAATTTTAAATTGAGCTCTATATTTTATAGGAAGCCAATGTAGGGACTGACAGACGGGTGAGGCATGGGAGGTACGGGCGGACAGGAAGATGAGCCTCGCCGCCGCATTCATTATGGACTGTAAAGGCGCAAGTTGGGAGCACGTAAGACCACTGAGAAGGGTATTGCAGTAGTCAAGGCGAGAAAGGACAGTGGAATAGACCAACACCTTAGTCGCATCTGGCGTTAGGTAGGGGCGGATGCGCGCAATGTTTTTGAGATGGAAATGACAGGATTTGGCGATAGATTGAACGGATGGATATCTCATCATACATATCAATAAACCAAAACAAAAATTCTCATACAAATGGTACAGAGAAATTACCCCAAAATTTCTAGAATACATATAAGCAAAATATATTGTAAATGAAGCTCCCTTGATAAAGGCATTCTTCTTGCCGAAACGTTGGGGGCTTGCTGATTGATTTTTTCTTCCCTCTTCTCACTAGGTCTAGGTATGCATCTGTTCTTTGTATATAGATTTATTTGTGTTGTTATGATTTGGTATCTCATATAGCTATTTACTACACTGGTATTCAGCAATTCATTTACAATATATTTTGCTCATATGTAATTCTAGAAATTTGGGGTAATTTCTCTGTACCATTTTTAAGGGAATGTTTGTTTTTGTTTTGATTTATTGATATGTATGATGAGATATCCATTTGTGGTGGACCCATCTAATAAAGATTTTTGTATATATTTATGGTTGTGCTCCTTGCTTGGGTAGTATTTGTAACTTTTTTGGTCCTTTGGAAATGGGACCTTGTGTGAGTGAGCACCCAGTATCATTTGTTTAGCTCCTTCTTGAAACTGCCTTTATTTACACTTGGAGGTTGCCTACCTATTTTTAATTTTTATTATGTCAGCCAAGGAGGCGGATTGGATGCGGCAATACACAAGCGGAACAACGTGACGCTGCAATAAAGGTGAGGTTTATGCTTATTTAAGGGGGGCCAGAGGGGCTGGGGCCCTAAATAGTGTTTTTAACACTATAGGCTCAGGAATACATGCATGCAATCCTGACCATATAGTGTTCCTTTAAGCTCCCTACAACATAAAGTCTACAAAGAGCAGAGGTTTCTATGGTACATGGAGTGTCACTTTAAGCCAAAATGACCTTTCAGCCCAAATGCTGCTTACAAAAGAGGTCGCAGTTACGTTAATTCAGCATGTATCTGCATGCCCAAATTATACATCTAATTGTAATGGTAATTATACATTTATGAATTTGATGACACTTATTATTGATATTACTAAAAAAACACAATGTTAAGAGGCTAATAATGTGTTGTTCTAAGTCTCTCCAAATAATGGGTACAAAGATTTCCATTATATCCATTTCATCAACACAGTAGAGTTATTTTCTTTTAATGTTCCGAATTCCCCATCATTTAGTTTATAAGCTGCACATTGTCGTAAGTAAGGAAGCTAATTTATTTATAAATACATTTAAATTCACGTAGAAGAAACACAAACATCAGTGTATTTTCAGAGCATTTCACACCCACAACAATTGACATTCACATTTGATTCATTGGTAGGATCTACCCATGTACCGTCTGGTGCTTACAAAGACATTTAAAGTTAAGCATGATTCCAATATTGTGCAACTCACTAATCTTTTTCTGCTCTTTTCCAGGTTACTTGGAATTTCTAATGAATAACAAGGACAATGGTGCCACCAAAGTACTCTTTGCTGGCTTCCAAAAAGTCCAACCTGCAGCAGAATCAAATGCCATCAATCATTTCCCCTGCCTCCATTATCATAAACAAATAACATAAATCACAAATAAATGTCCAATGCGTCTATCAACACTACTACTACTACTACAAGAACTGAACACAATGCAAATCTACAAATTCTACCAAATTTTCTCCTGTTCGTCAACGGGGAACTGGCAGCGGCCACTCTATCATCCAAAGATGGTGGCCGCCATGCGGGTATCTGGGCTGGGGTGCCCATTAGCATGGTGGGCAGAGTTAGGACAAGATGCATCCAAAATGGCAATAAGTCCCAGGAGTAAATTCATAGAGATCTGTAACTCCGCCTGCAGAGGGGAGAGGCTGGCCATGTGACTAATCTGCCCTTTATTTTCTGATTACCCCTTCAGTCGTTGCTTAATTTTTCTGTAGCCTAGTCTCAGTTTACTAGCGTATTCTTGTGCCTATGGTGCTTCCATTGTGCTCCTGGTTACGAGTACCAGTACTATAAAGGACAGGTCTGCACATTAATGGGGCTTCTGACCAGCTTTTTTCTTTCAATACAGGGAGCTCTGCTGAAACACTATCAGCAAGTTTCTAGTGCCCACTGCACATCACAAGAGTGTATCTAATGATACGCCTGTGCAGGGACAGTTTCCTGATGTCCCAGATGTAGGACACCAGGGAACTAAAGTGGGGCAGTGGTACAGGACACCTGAAATTAGGATTGTCCTGCTGAAAGATGGATTGTTGGGAGGAATGCTGTCACTAGCCAAATTCACAATATCTCATGACGCAGCTGGAGAAAGAAAAATGTACACTAAAATGCTTTGATTTTAGTTTAATGTTGTAAAAGGTCTAATAAAAAAAAAAAGATGTCTTGCTCGTATATAAATTTAAGCCCTGTGCTGTGGAATCTCACAAGTTACAAAGATTAAAGAAATGGTTTATAGTGAGAATATGTATTACTCTTCTTATTGACCTCCAGCTGTGAACTATTAAAATTGTTCCCTGCATACTTCTAGAATGATATATTATGAATATCAACACATTTTGTTCCCTTTCATTTTTCAAATTTCTATTCCATCTGCAGGTTCTCAGCAATGACCTGCTGTTTTAACTTATACAGTACTTATGCCAATGTACTGGAATTGAATGAACAAGATGTGAGAAGGAGATTTGAAAATGACAATACTGCTTGCAAATATTAATATATTTCACATGACATTCTGGTCACTTTCAGAGCTACGAGTGTAAGAATTGCCTTGTGATACATAGACCTATCAGCGCAGTGTAAGTGAGATTTTACTTCAATAGGCGTGAAGCTTTCAGAATTTTTTGATCTCACCACAATCATACTAATGCTTAGCTTCCATCTGTCAGAAATTTCTGGAATTAGCCAAGGTGGTAAAGTGCTGATTAGCCTAGAAATGATTAACTGTGCATGTTATTCATTATTTACTCTTCACTTTTTCATTTTTTTTTTTGTGTGCAATTTTTTTCCATGCTGAAAATGTTGCAGTAGGACCTGGTCTAAGGACACTTGCCAAATAAGAATGTTTTGGTGGGTTCATGACCTTTTAGCAGTCACCTCTTCCTAAAACAAATTGTGAATTTCCTCTTCAGAGAAAGATCTCAAGAAGAGCAGCTAGAGCAGAAGGCCCTATGCATCAAAACAAAATCAAATAGCACACTGACCGCAGTCCACTCTTTCAAATACTTAGGTATGTTGCTAGACCCCAATCTATCTTTTGGCCTCCACATAGAAAAAGGCCAAAACTAGGTTCCCTCACTGCCCTGTACAGAAACAAATCCTGCCTAAGCCCTACGGTAAAGTAAAAGATTGTACGGCAAATGCTGATGCCAATCATTGATTATGGGGATGTAGTATTTGCACCTGCACCGCAAACCCACCTTAATAAATGTAATACATTGTATAACTTGTTCTGTCGCTTTGTGCTACAATGTAATTACATGATCCACCATTGTGACATGCTAAAAGAACTAAACTGGCTGTCGCTGGAATCTAGACCCACCCTTCATCTTTCCAGCCTTGTGTTTTTCTGGGAAGCTCCCACCATACCTGAGCAGAATGCTCTCCCCGGCTATTCCCACCTCCTATAAGCTCTGATCCAGTAACGGCACTTTATTTAGTCTACCACAAAACAAAAAGAAAGTGGCTCGATCCTTCTTTTCCTACGGAGCACTGCAATTATGGAACGACCTCCCGTACACTTTCAAATCTTCCCCCGGCCTAAAATCCTTTAAGAGATCCCTCTCTACATACCTTAAAACAGAATGCACCTGTCATGGTTGATTATATATTTCTTACCTGTTCTATGTTAAATTTTGTTTTTATATTTTATTGAACCCTATTGTATCAATGCAATGTTTTGTGGACCCAGGACACACTTGAAAATAAGAGAAATCTCAATGCATCCTTCCTGGTAAAATATTTTATATAAATAAATACTGTGGAACCCTCTGACCGATTTTGTATTGTTATCAAGGAGAGGAACGTGTAAACTGAATCCTCAAGCGCTACATATTGCTGAGCACTGGCTTGTTCACATCGAGAATTAGGCATTGCCATAAACAACCATTTTAAAACTAGAGAACAGTGTAGAGGGAGCATACAGAAATGATGGACTGAAATGTAAACAAATTGCATAGCTAAGCTCAAGAGAATTATAAAAATACCTATCAGAGGGTTCTGATGGGTTATCTTGCAAGCCAACCAGAGTTCTCTAATGAGATTCAAAGTGGATCTGTTTTTGATTATGTATTGTCTGATTTCCACCCCCCCATCTTTTCTTGAAAATCGGTTAGATATTCCATAGTTGTGTTGCGGTATAATGGATTTTAATTTGGCCTTTTTGGGGCTGAAGTGACTAAAACGATTTACAAGAAAGAAGACTTCGGATTGTTAAGTATAATTACAGGAAGTCCCCTCTATTGTTTTTTTATTTAATTGCCCCCTTTTGCTAGCTATGGGGATAGATCACTCTCCACCCCCTTTCCATTATTATATTTAATTTAAAACCCATACAGCTAATGCCCAGAGGTAGGGGCACAGGGGAAACTATTGTTTCCCATTATTTTACATTGGATGGGGCCTTGCTAGTGACTGCACAACAATGGCTGCCCAGGCACTACTAATAAATGTTTAGCAGCAGATGAATACCTCCATTATAGTAATATGGAGTCATATTGACCCTTCTAAGACTTTTATTTTAAACATTTATAATGTGGTGGCTGCCTAGCAAACGCAAACCAGTGACCACCACATTTTTAACCTCATATTGTTGAGGATTTATTTAAACTAGTAGCAGTTAAAATTATTATTCACTTGCAAAAAGTTCAGATTTAAAAAAAATTTTATTTGTGTTTTGGGAATATTCTGAATCTTATACTTTGTATAGAGTTCGTATATGAAAAGCACAGATTTTAATCCAGACATCAAATGCATCCATATGATTGTTACAGATTTGCTTGAGTTGACTGAATTCCAACTGAGTTTGGCTTTTATAAAAATAAGAATTACCATTCCAGTTGGATATCAGCCATTTTTGTAGAATTTGGTCCATACGAACAAAATCCGGTGTTAAGTGAATTATCCTGTAAGAAAATATGGAGTATACAAATTCTCATATACTGCCTTTTCTCATGTACTAGATAAAGAGGTTCCTTATAGTTCATGTGTACTTAACATACCTATGCCTTGTAGTTCCATTTATAATAAAACATGTTTTAAAAAAAGCTAATTTAGTTAATTATTTACTAAATAAGCTGTCCTTTAATTCAAGCATAATACTTTTATACACACTGCATTTTACGTTCCCAGTATCACAAAATAACTTTCAATTCATATGAGTACTTTTCTCTGCATTTTCCACTCAAGTTTTCCTAAAATTTCCAAATCTTTCTGGGGAAAAACACCCAGGAAACACACCAGTTTTTTTCCACAGCATACAAATTTCCAGAAATGTAACATCTCTAGTTGTAGGTATAAATATAATGTGAGATATCTTCAGTGTTCAATCAGCGCGAAGAAGAATATATTGTGCTCTCCAAAAATGCACAGAGATCATAAACAAAACCGAGATTTCTACGTTGCCAAGAATGTGGGTCAGGTTCAGACTTGCAGAGACTCTAACTGACATAGGTGCATATATCCATTCACGAGCTTCAGCATAATTATCTTTTTCAGGGAGGGGATTCTGTATTGAGCCAGTGCTAAGGTATATTAACACAATATAATTAATAAATAAAAGTGCATCCATCTAAACCCACATCCCATTCAGAAAAAGAATGCAATCCTAATGACAAGATGCCTTAAGTGATCTTCAGCTCGGCTTGAAAATGATAGTGTCTTGGAAAAGCCAAAAATCTAATCTGAAATGGGAGGTTTATCCGCTGTGCGTTCTAAACTCAATCCCACAATTTTAGCTCAGGGATACATTCAAGGAAAATCTAGGCAGTGGTCGCAGTTGGAAAGTTCCATTTATGCATACCTAGTGTCAACAGCGAGCAACGTTAATCAATTTGCATTATCAGGGCACTCTGAGCACCAAAACGACTATATCCTGTTTAAGTTAAGAGCAATTTGGCTACGGACAGCATGCAACAGATCTGGATTAAACTGTTTTCAAGCAGTTTGACGAAAACTGAGGTTCTCAAGGTGCAGGATCAAGAGCGTTTTTATCCTGGTGTGGTGGAATATGATGGTCCAGAATCTTACAGAGAGAAAACACTAAAACAGCCATACCTTCCAAATGTCTTGTATGATGGAGGTAGTGCCAATGGGACACAGGATGCATTTCGAAAGAAAACACATACCCCATATCAATCACTCTCTTCCATCTATTTACCCAGTCTGTACAACCACACAGCTCTCTACTTCTCTCTTTTACTAATTACAAACTTTGAATCTAACTCCTCAGGACTCACTTGTCCCCTTATCTCCTTCTTTATTTTACAGTCAACCAGTCCACTGCAAAGTGTAGTGAAAAAAAAAAAAGAAAAGAAAACCTACTTCATAGGCATGGGCTTGTGGATGCAGCTCTATAAGCACATATGTTGATCTGGTCCAGTTCCCAAGGCACATGTGACCTGGCCCCAGCTTGCCCTATTACTACTGCTGGAGTCACAATTTCATCAATATTTAGATGGTAGTGATAGGCTGAGCAAGTTATTGCTAATTTTCTTTTGGCCTTGCTGTATTTCCAGCTAGATTAATGCCTTCGAGGATGTAAGTCTGTGAATCTAAGTCACAGTTAAATTAAAGTTCTAGAGGTTGCACAAGTTGCTGTGCTAACACACTACACTATGTCATTTGGTACTAAGGCAGCTCAACAATTTAGAAAAAATGAAAATGAGTCGGATATTTTTGTATGGATCTTAAGCACAGGAATCACAGACACTGGAGTATCTGCACTGGAGTTAATGCCTTTTGATGAGTTTTCATTTAGTACAGGTAATTTAGTGTTCATTTGTCAGCAATGTGCAACTACGGCGACCTCTACTGGCAAATTATAGTTGCTACAGGGAGAATTTATTATACAAGATTGTTCCTATTGACCTACCAAACAGACCTTACTGTAATAGAAAAAGTACATAATTTTATAATACACAATTGTATACAATAAGGTTTCATTTTATAGTTTGCAATTTTTTAAATCTTTTATCTTAAAGCGGCACTGTCATGCCGAATTCTGTTTTTTTTTTAACCCCCCTCCGGCCTCAACTACATCTTACTAACACCCTAGTCACCCCCAAATGCCCCTAAGCACCCCACATTACCTATTATGTATTCTGGGCGGCGGGTGGGGGCCATAGTGAGAATGAGGGGGGGAACCTAGTGCCCCCCCGGCCCCCACCCCTGGGCGGCGGGTGGGGGCCATAGTGAGAATGAGGGGGGGGCCTACTGCCCCCCCCGGCCCCCACCCCTGGGCGGCGGATGGGGGCAATAATGATGAGGGGGGGGCCATAAAGATAATGGGGGGGACCTACTGTCCTCCCCCCCCCCAGACCCCCACCCCTGGGCGGCGGGTGGGGGCCCTAAGTCAATTTCCCCCCCCACCAAGATGACTAGGGGTCCCCAAGCCCCTAGTCACCCACCCCCCCCACCCAAAATAAAAAATCCCAACCTTTTGAATTTTCCCACGCTTTGTAAAATGACAAAGAGCACTCTGATTGGCTTAAACCCACCAATCAGAGTGTTCTTAGCCTAATTGCAGGGGTGGGGGCCTGGGGGGGGCAGTAGGTCCCCCCCCTCATTCTCACTATGGCCCCCACCTGCCGCCCAGGGGTGGGGGCCGCGGGGCCGGGGGAGGGGCAGTAGGTCCCCCCCTCGTTATCATCATGGCCCCCACCCGCCGCCCAGGGGTGGGGGCCGGGGGGGGGGCGGACACTAGGTCCCCCCCCCTTACTATTTTTATGGCCCCCACCTGCCGCCCAGGGGTGGGGGCCGCGGGGAGGGGCAGTGGTCTCCCCCTCGTTATCATCATGGCCCCCACCCGCCGCCCAGGGGTGGGGGCCGGGGGGGTGGACACTAGGTCCCCCCCCTCATTATCTTTATGGCCCCCACCCGCCGCCCAGGGGTGCGGGCACTAGCCCCCCCATTATCGTTATGACCCCTACCCACCGAGCAGGGGTGCGGGCCGGGGACGACGACATTAGGTCTCCCCCCTTGTTTTACTTTAGGGCCCCCACCCGTCATTTAGGGGTGGGGGCCAATAGTTGTTTTTTTTGTTTTTTTGTTTTACAGTGAGCAGCCACAGGCTGCTCACTGTTTACCAGACATGCCCCTACTCGTGGTATAGCGAGTAGGGGCATATTATTTACTAATACTAAGTAATTTTTACTTGGTATTAGTAAAGTTGGCTGAAAGACCAATTTAGGTCTTTCAGCCTTTTAGTAGATAGCTCCCTGATACCGTGGGAATTAGGGAGTTATCTACTAAACGGCTGCAAGATGCAGCCACAGCAAGAATAGGATCGGAGTTTCATTCATTCGAATGAAATTCCGATCCGAATAAAGTGCCGAATTGCATTCTAAAAGAAACAAACATACTGCTCTCATTCAGTTAGAACGCAATTCAGCAGTTTTGTCTCAAATGACAGGAAGCATCGTGGGAACACAGAGGGAAGGTAAGAATTATGGGAAAATTGCTCTGACCAGCGGAAATGAAGCACACTTTGCTCCTCCGCTGGTCAGAGCTGGTCAAGCGGAGGAATCCTCCATAAGGCAAAGAGTCCCTACTTTGTCTTATGATGTTAAAGAAAACTAAAGAAGACAGGAAGAAAAGAATAACAGATCCTGAGAGAGGGGGAGAAGAGGAAGAGATTGAGGAAAGGTAAGTTCGGCATGACAGTGCCGCTTTAAAGAGTGCGTTTAAGCACGATAACTACTACGTTGCATTTTGCCAAACAGTTTCAGTAGTTCAGGAAAACAAAAGAGGTGTAACTCAAGGGCACAGGCAACCCTGGAGCCTTGCTTGCCATATTGCTAATGCAGAATGTACACTTTCACATTAGCAATATCAATTCAGCCATTCCTAGATGCAGTGAGAGGCTGAAAGCATGATCACTGAACTCAAGATTTAGCAAAATGAGAAATAAGAAATCCTTATGAACCACAGCCTAACAAAGGCCTCTATTTAATTCTATAGTAAGCAGCCAGCAGCTGCTCACTGTCGTCTAAGCTAACACTGCCTTGACTCTTATAAAAAAAACAAAAAACAAGAGGGGCCTGCCAGAGACTTATAATTAAATCATTTTGAGTGGATAGGTAATCGGTTAGGGCACTATTAAATAAAAACATGGGGGAACATAAAAGTGCCCCCGCTGCTCTGACCCATCAGCGGTGGGTGGAGGCTATGATATATAAAGTGTGCAAAAATAGTCTCCCCCGCCAAACCCTACCCATTAATGAGGAACACATCTCAAAACCACTCCAGCGCCCACCCATAGGTGGTTTGTGGGGTTATGTTAAAATTGATAAGAGAGGATGGACATGCTATTGTACACCCCCTTTACATTCTACGATCTGCCTCCCCACGCATGATTTAAGAAAGGGGCATTAATTAAAATTGAGAATTGTGGACTTGCATTGTCCAACCACCCAAAATTAAGTCCCTCCCTAAATAACACCCTAAAGTGGCGAGGGGTGCCCAATTAAAGAAATTCTGTCCAACCCCCCTCATCCTAGTAGTAGTGAGGGGGGCTCCAATAAATCTAATACCTGTAAAATAATGTTTTATGCTGACAGTCAAAGGTCTTCATTATTTTTAATAACAATCTTTTTTTCAGCCCCATAAAAATCCATTAATTACCAATGCTGATCAGTATGCATGCACACACTTGTGCAATTGTAGGTGCATAATGGCGGTATTAAATCTCCCTTACACTAATGAGGGTCATATTGACTCCCATAGGCTTTTTTTTTTTTTTAAACAATTTGCCCGCTGGTTGCTACAGTTTCCAGCAGGCAAGTAGTAAAAGGAAAAAAAAAAACATTTATCTCCAACTTTTAGTTGTCAAATCCAGTTTGGCCACTTATTGGGAAAAACCTGCCTGATAAATGGAGTTAAGCTACCTCATTCAACATTTTCAATGTAAAGTATAGGTATCAGGTTTTACATTTGAACCAATGTTTATTGGCTTCCGATAAGCCTATAATGACTTGGTAATTTATTCAATTTGAAACGATAAAAGGCTTATCAGGAGCCAATAAAACATTTAAGCTCTAATTAAATCAAAGTCTATGCAATAAACATCAGTTAGTGTAAGATGTCTAAGCCCAATATGACATGTTTACTACGTTAACTCCAGTGATGTCATATGCTGATGTCTGAAGGCTTACTGTTTGCTAGTAGTACAGGGATATTTTTTACAATGACCAAATCATATAATTTTTTTGCAAAGGTGATTAGTGTTTTTTGGATTCACATGATTCATATATAAAGTACACACACACACACACACACACACACACACACAGACACACACACACTTTATATACTACTTTCTGAATCTAGTCTAAGATATTATACAAGGCAATCATATTACAAAGTGGGGAAGAGATACAGCTGGGATTTTATATTTTAAAAAGAGTCCCAGAGAAGGTCCACGATGTGAAAAACAACTATTCCAATAGGCTGTACAATTACAAGCCTAGCACTGAACTCAGGTTACCTTCAGATTAATAAATCATCTGCAACAATATGTCATCAAGCTGCTCCCTTAAATGTTCTATACTCACTTATCCAGAGATTTAGGGGGGAATGTGAATGGCCCAGTGCATATCCGATCTATGAAGTTGAGAGGGATTTTCTGGATCTGTTGGCAGCAGAGCATAATGAAGTCATACTTGCAGATAAAAAGGTTTTTCTCTGTGATAAGTACAACGCGCTCCTTCTCATTATTCCAGTGATCAACTCTGCAACAATACAAAGAACTCAAAACTGTTAGACACTGTCCATTCATTCCAGAAAATGTTGCACAGACTTAATCTTCTAAATATTTACGTAATTGTTAAGAACACCAGGTCACACATTTAAACTGGAAGAAAGGAGATTAAGTCTAAGGCAAAGGAAATATTTTTTTTACAGTAGGAACAATAAGGATGTGGAATTATCTGCCTGAAGATGTGGTTTTACCAGAGTCTGATGTTTAAACAGCAACTGAATGAATACTTGCAAAAACATAATATTCATGGATATCATATTTCAGTTGTAGGGTAATGCCTTTTTTAATTCAAGGGAAGATTTGATTGCCATTCTGGGGTCAAGAAGGATTTTTTCCCTAGCTTGTTGCATAACTGGAAGCGCTTCAGATTGGGTTTTTGCCTTCTTTTGGATCAACAGCAAAAACAGATGTGAGAAAGGCTGAACTTGATAGACACGTGTCTTTTTTTCAACTATATTACTTTTGTAGTACATTGAAGGAAAACTGAGCAAAATGGATTAGGTGAAGGGGCAATGTAAGGCGCTGTTCCAATAGTTTAAAATGTATCTTTTATATTACTCTAATATACATGTTCCCATTCAGGAGAGGGGACATTACTGTTATTATTTGTAAAGTGCCAACAAATTCTGCAACGCTGTAAAATACTTGGACTGACAAACAGGTATATTAAACAACCATTTAACATATTTTTGGGGACAAGCTCACTTACCCAAAGGTACCTATGAGTCAGTGCACTTTTGTGCAGAAAAGCAGTAGGTGGTTGGTTTTTTTAATGTTTTTATTTTTGCCCCGTCCCCATAATCAGGAAAATGTATTTTAATACAAAGCAATAAAATATTGTTCTAAGGAACCAAAACCCTGCCTTTGTATTTATACTTCAGAGCCAATAGTGGAACCTAGGACTGACATGAAAAAAGGGGATCCCAGTACTCGGCAACCATCCAGTAGTAGAGTTTGTACCTTTTCTGATTTATTTTTTGTATGTGCCGGGAGCATCCTGGGAACACAATTTACATTGTGCAAGATAAAAACTGGTCTAAGTTTGAATGTTATACATCAGAATGTAGAGAATGTGATCATAAATTTATGTAACAAAATGTTGTTGCATAAATGTAAACAAAATTAGTTATTATAAGTTAATTTCGATAAATGCATAGAAATGTGAATTGAAGCAGCTCAGTCACCAAGTGGTGATTTTACCACTTGAAGGGAAATGTGAGTTTTACTTACCTGAACCTGTCCCTTGTAGCCGCCGCCATTGTCTGTTACAGGGCCCTCTTTAGCTCCTGGTGAATCATCTGCCAGGAGCTGACATCACTGCTGTACTCTAACGCCTGCGCAAAAGTGCAGCACTAATATCTACGGAGAATAGACTGAACACAGTCTATATGATCATATTTATCTTTATAAAATGCTAATTTTTCTTTGGGGAGGGGGGGGAGAAGGATGACTTAGCCACTTTTTATCCAATTTCGATATTGGCTGTTGTATAAAAGAGGACCAGCTATTAATCAAACTATATTTAGAATTTGATGATGAAAATGGATTATGTTGTCCTTGCCCTTTAAAACAAAAAGCCAACATTTGAGTAACTGTGTGTGATTATTGCCTGTGCAATGTAGGGGTTTTCTGGCCTGAAGATGGCAGCAAAATCCTAGATTCTCTTAACAGACTATGCCAGATATTTAAAAAATTTGACATTATGGTAATTATTAATTCTGAAACCTTGCTAAAAAAATATCTCCCATCTGGATAATGAAGAAAACTGTAAAACCTCACATGTTCCTCCAAATAGCTGCCTTCGTTTAGAAAGAAATTGACAGCATTTGCAAAAGTTAGACTAGGTGGAAAACAGAGCTTCTCGGTAAGATCAAAATCTACCCCTTTGTTAAACAAGAGACGTGTACCAATAGGGGACTGGGATAGCTAGAATACTCAACTATGAGTCTTGGAGGTAACAACCAGACTAGGAACTAGTAATGGTGAAAACAAAGAAATACAAAATAAATACTTTTTATTAAATCTAAAATACAAATTAATAACCATACGTGCTCGTGTACAAAAAGGTTAAAGGTGAACAGAAAAATAATAATAATAAGTAGAGGACCGGTAGCAATACCTGGAGAGGTCCTAATAACACTAGAAATTCTAAAGACTACCCAGGGTCTATACAGCTCTGGTAAGACACTCGAGTAGTATAAATAGAAGACGTGTTAATGAATTATCATGATGGACTTGTCCAGGTGTACTACCTATATAGCTTGCATAAGATAAGATGTCACCAATAGTCTTAAGATAGGTCTCACTCTATATGACCCTGATAGAGTATCTTAAGTGGTATGCAGGGTAAGTATCAAATAGAAGAGCAGTGGCGATTAGAAAACTAGCTTGACCATTAGTGGGATAAGAGTATATAATAGAGCTAGCCTAGTAGCCAATAGATTTAGCACACGTCTGTGCCGAAAATCGGAGCTCCATAAGGGATGGTAGGGAGGTATAAAGCCTCACAAAAAGGTAATGGGAGTGGGAGGAAAGTAGCAAAAATGAGGGGAAAAAAACCCCTATATAATAGCTACAGATCTATAAATAGAGGTATAGTTCCTCATTATAATCCTATAGATCTGTGATACCAATAAGTTATCAAATAGTAAAATTTCTAAGCTCTAATAGCCGTAATGCTAAGCTCACGAAGTGGCAGGTGAGCGAAGCACGGCTCTAAAATCCCACCGACAGTCACCTAATATAAGACTGCTTCCCTCCCGTGCCTTCGAGGGCACCTGCCGCTATCCCCGCTAAGCTAGTGAATCTAATAGCTGCAAACTAATAACATTTTTTAAAAAGGGAATGAAAAAATAATAGTAAAAAGTAAAATTAGTAGTGTGGTTGCTGGTTCATGTGCTATTTCTAAGTTATGAGGATAGCACAACTAGGAACCCTTAGTCTGTATGTCGATGTTTCTGTTGCCTTCCCTGATGTCATTTCTCTTCCTGCTCTTTATATTTAAGGTCCAGTTTTTCTTCTATTTTCACCTCTCTCTCTTTTTTTAATAATGCATATCTTGAAGAGTTGCTGCTTGCTAGCCATGTTTCGTCTGATCTCACAAGTCATGCAGTCTGTCCTGGTGCTTTTTACTCTCCTACTCTTTTAGCTCCTGCAATTGTTCATCATTTTCTTTTTCCTTCCGGAGCCCAACCTGCTTCCATTCTATTCTCTTTTCTCCTGCACGTTCTCCTCCTGCTTACTCTACCTCTCTGTGAGGTGTATTTCTGCATGACTGTAGAAACTGCATTTGTACACTTTACAATTATGATATATTTGTTCCCAAGAATAATGTAGCCTTCAGTTACATGATGGAATGACCAACACTGCCCTCCTTATTTTCTTATCAATTTATTCTCATAACAATCATCCAATGACACCCTAGTCAAAATAAAGATATCATTTTGGGTGTATAAATGTGGTTCTGTCACTAGAGGGCGACAAATAAGCAGCAGTAGGCTGATGTGTTAATCATTTGGACACATACGCTGCCAAGCACTTTATTTAATTTCCTGGCATATGTGCTGGGTATTAGAGACTCACAAATTCTAGATAAATGTCTGAGGGGACAAAAAAAAAAGCCATGTGCCTGTGTATAGTTGGCAATAGAGGTTGAAAAATCAGCTTGTGTACTCCCATCTTGTGCAAACACACAACATTTGAAAGAAAGAAAATGTTAGCTTGGAACAAATAGCACCCAGTGCAATGCACATATTTTAACAAAGTTAGTTACAGGGTAGAATGAGGAAATTGTCAGGCTGCCCATGCTGTTCAGAGTTCCCGGTATGACCTTTTATCTTTAACTGAAATGATATAATATTTATAAAGTGCCAGCATATTTCACACTGCTGTACAATCGGTGTACAAAAAAATGCAAGACCAATTTGACTAGTGATGGTCTGGTCAAATTAGCTTAATTGCAGCTATGTCACTCTCTGGGGTCTTTGCATGAATTGAAAAGAGCCCCGATGGTGACATGGTCATGAAAAGTCCATTGGGCCATGGTGGGTAGAAGAAGGTAGGTTTTACTTACCTGAACCTATCCCTCAAGGGTGCTGCCATATACTCTGGCCCAGGCACTCAGGATCACTTATGCATCAATTTTATTGGGAAAACAGGAAAAACACGTAACGTTTCAATCTCAACTGAGATCTTTTTCTCTTAGTTGAGATCGAAACGTTGCATGTTTCTCCTGTTTTTCCAATAAAACTGCTGAATAAGTGATCCTGAGTGCTCGGACTACATTTATTGTTTTACCATTGGAGTGGATAATTCAGGACCAGAAAAGAGTGTAGATTGCTCCTTTTAGTTGGTCCATTTCCATCTAGTCTTCTTCAGTTCCTGATGCTTCAGATGCAAGGAGCCGATGTTGGTAGTGTACTCTTTTGCATGCATGAGAGTACATCATTGATGTCCAGAAAGGATCCTGTGGGACCGCGGGATCTTCCACAGTAAGAGCTTTTTTTTTTTTACTTGCTACAGCATCACTGGTGATGGCTGGGGGAAATGGCAAGCTTGACAAAATGTAGCTCGCCCTTTTGTCAAGTGGAGGAAAAATACTGAGACATACTAGTCCCTACTTTGTCTCAGTATATCTTTTGCCTGGTTTGGAATTTCAGTGAAATTCTAACACTGTCAATCTGAGTATTTCATAAAGATTATTTCTCTCCTCTGATGAGTAACCCAGACGAAACGTGCGCGTCAGGGGCTCAGGAAGCCTAGATTGACATTCCTCTGCTGCTGCACTTATTCAGCCGCGGTCTGACTAGCGATCTTGCTTTTTCAACTAGGCATCTTTTTTACTTATCCTATCCTCTGTCTCGTTATTCCTTTTTGGGGGGTTGAGTTATATAGTATAGGCATTTATTAAGGGGTGCCCTCGAAGGCACTTTGTTTTTCTATCTTACAAGCGTCAGGATTATCTATATTTTCTACATCTCCATTTATCATTGTGTATTAGAGATACTTCATCTATATACAGCAGACCCTGTCCTGCAGGAGGAGTTCAGAGGATACTAATACTCCACCCTCCTATCTTGAACATTGTTTATAGCAAGTGGCTTCACTTTTTACTATCTAAGTTTCTCTCTGTATTTACACCTTTTTGGGGGGTTGTGCTATATAGTATAGGCATTTATTAAGGGGTGCCCTCAAAGGCACTTAGATTTTTTATTTTACAAGCATCAGCATTATCTATATTTTCTACATCTCTATTTATCATTGCATCTAATCCTAGCTTGCTACTGCCTCCTATACCTCCCTATTTACAGGTATTCTCTTCTTTGCAACCATATTGGTGTACTGTCTAACCTCTTGTGTATTAGAGGTACTTTATCTATATACAGCAGACCCTGTTTTGCAGGAGGAGTTCAGAGGATACTAATACCCCACCCTCCCATCTTGAATTCAATGACATTGTTTATAGAAAGTGGCTTAACTTTTTACTATTAAAGTATCTCTTTGTATTTACACCTCTCTTGCTAGCAAGCGTCAGGATTACCTATAGTCTCTATATTTCTACTGACCATTATATCTAACCTAGCTTGCAACTGTCTCCTATACCTCTTTATTTTACAGGTATTCCCTGCCTCTTTTCTATTAACCATTGCAACCAACTGTTGTGCTGTTTAACCTCTTGTGCACTAGAGGCATTTCATCTATATTCAACCTACCCTGTTCTGCAGGAAGAGTTTTGAGGATCCTAGTATCCAACTTCTCTATTTAGAATTCAGTCACATTGTTCATAGCAAGTAGTTTTACTTTACACCAATAAGTATTTCTTTGAAGTAACACTTCTCTTGCTATTGGTTCTATTGGAGGTTTAATACCCCAACTAGTTTATAGGACATATTATTTTGTAGCCTTGTGCTTTTTGTTTTGCTTTTATCTTTTCTATTTAACATTTTAATATATCCATAAAAAGTTTTCTTTTGTGCTCATTTCATTGTGACTATATTTACCAAAATGTTGAGACACTTTATGGTAGTTTTTTTCTTTTCTTTTTTGTATTCATATAAATATATATTGTGTTGTTACGATTAGTTCTGGCAGCGCCCTTATAATGTAAACATGTTTGAGTACAGAATTATGGAATTATTCCCTAAACAGTAACCTGTGGTGACTTGAAATTATTTTTGTCCATAATGACATGATATGGATAAACATTCACAGCTCTCCGTGTTGAGAATAAACTACCCTTTTTAAAGACTAATTTGAATAAATTTCCTCTTCCTCTTGTTTTTGACTGACTATATGCCACGATATTACTGCCTCAGAATAATATCATCTTTACTTTGTATCAAAGTGATGTAAATATGAATTTCCTGGCACGCCTTCCCCTTTAACAAAAGGAACCACCCTCCGCTTGTGTACAATGCATTTTTCGACAAGCTGTTCTCTGCCACCTGCTCAGAGCCTTAATTACAAAACATATCTCTGTTCCAGAGTAAGGTGTCATCAATGGCGCTTCAGTGTTTTTGTCATTATTTTTCTTCAAGAGCGACCTACTGGGGATATGTTTAACTAGAAACAAAAAGCAAACAGGATTGCAGTGCCAATGAAGGGCTGGCACAGTTTGCTCATTGTATCAGAGCCTTTACAGCTAAGAGATTCTGCAGACATGCAAATGATCACTCATTTTAAAATGTTAACTTTGTAAGAAGCACTAAAATTCTATTCTGTCTTCACAATGTGGTCAGCGAAAACCTTACGCACCATGCAATGTTATATATGGTATCCATGCAGCTACTGTAGAACCATATTAGTGCTAATCGGGTAGGAAAGTCTATATCAGATGGGAATATCAGAATAAAACACTTTATTATGATGGCATTTGCCATTACCAATCCTTGAAAAAATATTTAACCCTTTGAAAACTGTCAGCCTCTTGTCCATTTTTACATGCATCACAGTATATTAATGGCTGTTACTTACTCTGCCAATAGCCAGGAACTGAGCACATGTTCATTGTCCTTTGCCACCACCTGATTTGATAAATCATTGACAGCTTGGTCAAACGCCCCTGGCTGAAAAGGAAGCATAGAATAACATGACCTTACTTTCTCTCTTCACAATGTTAATAGAACGTGTCTTGTACCAATAAAATTAGCATCAAACATTACTTAAAAAAACAATAAGTTACCAAATGCATAGTTGTACTCTAAAGAAAATTATGTGTATAGCTGTGTTAGTGTATAGATCATGCCCCTGCAATCTACCTGCCCAGTTCCCTGCCATTTAGCAGTTTAATCACTTTGTTGTCTGTTTACGCTGTCCTAGCCACACCTTTCCTGGCTGTGACTCACACAACAAAGTAGTAGAAAAGAAATTCTAGATTAAAGAGACTGCACAGAAAAGGAATTTCAAACATTAGCTATCTCTTTGCAAGAGACGTGTAAAAATACCTCCCCTGTACATGCTTTAAAGGGACATACCACTGTCCAAATACAAAATAAGTCAACATCACTGTTGAGTAGATATACCCCAAATGAAAACTTGCATGCAATTAATTACACTTTTTTACATTGGGTGTATATCTAAAAACAGTGTGCAAAACCTCCAGTTCTCTTGCCTGCTGCCTTTGCATTAAAAGACAGGGGGTTGTAACAAGGTTAATTTATAAAAGTGTCAATTTCTATAGAAATCTGCACTTTTTGCAAAATGAAAAAAATAGGACACACTCTTCAAATCTAAAGCTTTTCAGCAGGCTAAAGTGTTTAAGCAGTAGTGTGTAGTGTCTATTTAAACAATCTTTCTACACATTTCTTGTAAAGAGAGATCTAATGCTTATGTTTACATTATTGCACAGTCTCTATAATTTAGAATTTCTTATCTTCTGCTTTGTTAAAGGATCACTATAGTGTCAGGAAAACAAAGCAGTTTTCCTGACACTATAGTGCCCTGAGGGTGCCCCCATCCTCAGGGTCCCCCTCCCGTGGCAATGAAGGGGTTACAACCCCTTCAACCCCTTACCTTAATTCAGCGCCGGGCTCCCTCGGCGCTGGTGACCTCTCCTCCCCCGCCGAAGTCTGCTCAACCGTCCGACATCACTGGAGCGGAATTCACTGGAGTGGAATGCTCATACACGGCAAGTGCCACATGTGCATTCAAAGTGTCCATAGGAAAGCATTTCTCAGGCCTATGGACGCTCTGCGCAATGGGGGCGAAATTCGCCTCCAGCGTCGCAGATGCGCCTCTAGTGCCTGTCCGGAAGACAGCCACTAGAGGCTGGATTAACCCCAAATGTAAAATTAGCAGTTTTTAACATGTGAAGGGTTAAAACCTGAGGGACATTGCACCCAGACCACTTCATTGAGCTGAAGTGGTCTGGGTGACTATAGTGTCCCTTTAATAGCGTGTAAAGTATTGGGGGATACACTTACACTACACCCACACCTGTGTAATGATTTGGTAGCACCTACACACCATTGCACTTTTTTATATTTGTTAGCACTTGCAGAAAGCTCCTGTGTGTGATTAGAGCTCAATAACTAACAGAGAAGGAGATAAAAACTTCGAAAGTAAACACACTGTTCTCTCACATCTGATTGAAAATTAAAAACATTTTCATACAGCCTGTATGAGTCACACCCATGGGACATGTTGATGAAACAACATAAACATAAACAAAAGTGATTTAAATAGCAAAGAACTGATCACTGAGACTGGAGCAGGATGATCTATACACTAATATTGCTTTATTAAACTAATATTCTTTTGACGCTTATAGTGTCCCTTCAGAGGCGTCATCGGGAAGGGGCAGGGGGAGCTTAACCCCTTAAGGACACATGACATGTGTGACATGTCATGATTCCCTTTTATTCCAGAAGTTTGGTCCTTAAGGGGTTAAACTCCGAATGTGTGGCTCTATGGACCTGGATTTTATTTCCCGTTCAATCCAAAGATACCAAATGACAAAGTAGGTAAAGCCAGAGTTCCTCTGTTAATTTTTGTCCAGTCCCAGTTGCCATCACAAATAATGGCTGCAAGATTTAGGCTTTGTCAATGGAGGATCCAGGGCTCTCACAGAGTCCTCCATAGAACTCAGTGTAGTACTCTTATGCATGCGCACGAGTACAGAAGTGACATGGATCCTGGAAGTTAAAGTGCCAGCATCCAAAGAAAACTGCAGCGTTAACATGGCAGCGGCCACAATAGTCAGCCTGGATCTGTCCATTTCGGAGATCTTTGCGAAATATGCAAAGACCCTCGAACTTGACAGATCCACTTTAATTCACCTTTCGTGCAATCCTTCTATCGCTCATATAACCGTATCTTCTCAACATCAGTCATACAAACAGCGGGTAGACCTTTTTGTCAAAGTAGATTGCAGTGATCATTATTCCAGCTCTGCAGGATAATTTAAGTGAACACACGCAACACAAGCTTTTTCATTCTAAAAGCAATTTTAAAAAGAGGTGAGGGGGTGGATTCTTTGTTTTGTACTGTTCAATGTAGTATCATGGAGATCAATATTACAGCAAATCCATGAGATACATTTATTCATCTGAAATCATCACACATTGTCATGTGGCATAAGATATCTTGTACAGTGGATGGTATAAATTGCTTTCCAATAAAAGAGTAAAATAATAAGTCACTGTTAAAAGACCCCCTGCCAACAGTCCCCTAAAGTTACATATATATTTATAGACACCTGTCTGTATATGCACACTACCACTCAAGACAAATACAGTCCTCATGCAGACAATGGAGATTGCATATGGGTAATGATATTCACAGTGTACTTTGACAGTTAATAATCTAGACATATTTAATATAAGTTTACTATATATCCTGCACACATCTATCAGATGGGAGAAAATTAATGATTACATTGGAGAGAGGATGGCTTCTCATTATATTGTCACAGGGTTCTTACCCATGCAATGGGATCTGTCATTCCCATGATCTATTTCCCATCTAATAGGAAAAATGGATTAACAAGTTTACACCAAGGGTTAAATATAACAGAGGGATGTAAACACACATTTGTGGCCTGCTGTTATTATAAAATAGGAAAGTAGCAATTTTATTAAATTACAATTACAAATAGCATAGCTCCTAACATTGCAAATGGATAAAGAGGCACACTTTAAAATTATTAAAAGGTGGTGGCCAGAGGTGGGGCTGTTCTGAGAAATTTTAGGTGTCTTACTGATTTATGCAATCAAAATGTAATTTAGAATAAGAACAATGTTAAAAAAATACTTTAACTTGCTTTAGAATTGTTTATCTCTTGTTCTGTATATCGGACTTTAAAGGAACACTTTAGAGTTAGGAATACAAAGATGGATTCCTAAGACTTACATGTTCCTCAAATTCCGTGAAACTCCAGGAAGTGCCACTAGTGGCTGTCTGGTAGACAACCACTTAAGGCAGTCTTAGTTTGCATTGCAGGACAAAGGGGGACAGGGATAGTACACCCAGACCACTTCAATGAGATGAAGTGGTCTGGGTGCCTACAGTGTCCCTTTAATCATACACAGGAGTCTGCTGCAGGACACGAGATAGAAACATAGAAACATAGAATGCCCAATTTTCTAAATACTTTCATTAGTCCCTAGTCTTATCTTATAGTTAGGATAGCCTTATGCCTATCCCACGCATGCTTAAACTCCTTTACTGTGTTAACCTCTACCACTTCAGCTGGAAGGCTATTCCATGCATCCACTACCCTCTCAGTAAAGTAATACTTCCTGATATTATTTTTAAACCTTTGTCCCTCTGATTTAAGACTATGTCCTCTTGTTGTGGTAGCTTTTCTTCTTTTAAATATAGTCTCCTCCTTTACTGTGTTGATTCCCTTTATATATTTAAATGTTTCTATCATATCCCCCCTGTCTCGTCTTTCCTCCAAGCTATACATGTTAAGATCCTTTAACCTTTCCTGGTAAGTTTTATCCCGCAATCCATGAACCAGTTTAGTAGCCCTTCTCTGAACCCTCTCTAAGGTATCAATATCCTTCTGAAGATACGGTCTCCAGTACTGTGTACAATACTCCAAGTGAGGTCTCACCAGTGTTCTGTACAATGGCATGAGCACTTCCCTCTTTCTACTGCTAATACCTCTCCCTATACAACAAAGCATTCTGCTAGCATTTCCTGCTGCTCTATTACATTGTCTGCCTACCTTTAAGTCATCAGAAATAATCACCCCTAAATCCCTTTCCTCATATGTTGAGGTTAGGACTCTATCAAATATTCTGTACTCTGCCCTTGGGTTTTTACGTCCAAGATGCATTATCTTGCACTTATCCACATTAAATGTCAGTTGCCACAATTCTGACCATTTTTCTAGTTTACCTAAATCATTTGTCATTTGGCATATCCCTCCTGGAACATCAACCCTGAGATACGAGCTAGCATGGACAAGATCTATACACCAAAACTGATTCGTTAATCTAAAGTTGTTTTGGTGCCTATAGAGTCCCTTTAAAGGCTATAGTTGTCTATAAGGATTTGCCACGACTTTAAAAGGGGTAAAAACAATGTTACATAGACTAGGAAGAGTCTTTGAGCTTACATTAATCAATATTTGAGTATGTGATAAAAAATGACATAAGGCAATCTCTAAGCACCATAGCAATTGCAGTTTATTGTTGTGGTCATGATGCAGCGGGAAACCATTCTCAAGCAATATGATAAAACAAAAAAAATTGGGGCTCTTTTTTCCCTCTATTGTCCTTGAAGACTCTAAAAAAATACATATTGAAATATATTTCTGCAAATGAGCACTAATACCTATTCCTCAGCAGGTAAGAAGTTGTATCCACAAATTATTATTGTTAACATCTACTTAAAGGGACACTATAGTCACCCAGACCACTTCAGCTCAATGAAGTGGTCTGGGAGCCAGGTCCCCCGGGTTTTAACCCTTCAGATGTTTACATTGCAGGGTTAATCCAACCTCTAGTGGCTGTCTTCCTGACAGCCGCTAGTGGTGCTTCTGCGACGCTGGATGCGAAATTCACATCCAGCGTGTAGAACATCCATATGAAAGCATTGAGAAATGCTTTCCTATGGACTGTTTGAATGCGGGTGCGGCTCTTGCCACGCATGCGCATTCCACTCCACTAGGGAGCTGACGTTGGCGGGGGACAAGAGGTCACAAGCGCTGAGGGAGTGCTGGATTAAGGTAAGTAACTGAAGGGGTTTAACCTCTTCAGCACCAAGGGATGGGGGCCCTGAGGGTGCTATAATGTCAGAAAAACAAGTTTGTTTTCCTGACACTATAGTGATCCTTTAAATACAATGTTTTTCCTGATAAGACAAAAAGAGCTATGGATTTTAAGACATTATAATGACAAAGCATCATAGGAGTTGTAGTTCTGAAAACACCTGGGGATCTATATTTTCCCTCATATGCTGCATGTTACCCAGTAATAGCTTTGCCATTCATTACAGGGGTCACTGGCATACATATAGGGGTCGCAGCTGTGACCAGGCCTGTCACTCCAGGGGGCCGACCGCCTTGCGGACCCCTGCGACCAGGCACCAGTCGCCATGTTTTGCTGCCCTGGCCCAGCTGGCAAACCACCGGGGCCGCCGTCTAAGGGCTGTTACGCCGTCTAATGTTGTTACGGCCACCAGGTGGAGATGGATTTTCAGGAGGCCCGGTCAGCGCTGGGCGCTTTAACAGCACGACCGGGCCCCCTGTGACGACATCCTTGCTGGGAGGAAGTGACAGCCCCGGTCATTCTTACCAGCTATCACTGAGAGCCTGCGCGGGAGGAAGGACAGGGAGTCAGAGTGGAAACTCTGACTCCCACCAGCCAGAGCCACCATTGGACCCCAGGGAAAGTCACCTAAAAGGTAGGAAACAGGAGGGTGACTAAAATATTTTGTAAATGTGTGTGTTTGTTTGTATGTATGTCTCTCTGTCTGTATGTGTGTCTGTATGTATGTGTCTGTGTGTGTCTGTCTGTATGTGTGTGTGTGTTTTTGTCTGTATGTGTGCCTGTCTGTTTGTATGTATGTATGTGTCTTTGTATGTATTTGTGTCTTGTGTGTGTCGTGTGTGTGTGTGCCTGTATGAATGTCTGTCTGTATGTGCATGTGTGTATGTATGTATGTATGTGTCTTTGTATGTGCGTGTCTGTGTGTTTGTGTGTGTGTCTGTCTTTATGTGCCCGTGTGTGTGTTTGTGTGTGTATGTCTGTCTGTCTGCCTTCCTGTATGTGTGTGCCTATCTGTATGTGTGTATGTATGTCTGTATGTGTGCCTGTCTGTTTGCATGTATGTGTCTTTGTGTGTGTGTGTGTGTGTGTGTGTGTGTGTCTGTCTGTATGTGTGTGTATGTGTCTGTCTGTGTCTATGTGTGTGTGTCTCTATGTATGTATGTGTCTGTATGTATGTGTGTATGTATGTGTCTCTGCATGTATGTAAGAGGGTGTGTGCGTGTGTCTGTTGGGGGGTGAGCAAAGAGGGGATAAGAGGGGGGGGCGGGGGTCCCATCAGTTTTGCACCGGGGCCCCATGTATTGTGTGTACGCCACTGAAAGGGGTTTTAATTTATCAAGTTCAATGGTATGTTGTCACTTATAGTAAAGATCTTACCCTAGCAACAAAAAATTTCCGTAGGAGAAACTTTTGGTTAGAAATAGCAGATTCAGTTTTCTGACTCTGGTCTTTTAATTCTTGTGCCTGCTTGTTGTCAGGATCCTTTTCTACTTCAGGTGCAGAGGGCTCCTGTCCCCCCAGTTGGACAGGACGGAACTCCCCGCTCTGAACCACTTGGGCCATGTCACAGATCTGCAGAAAAAAAAAGAAAAAATATGAATATGACAATATATGTTTTTGGTTTTTTTTTTTTGTTCTTATTGGTGACTTAATATTTACTTTAAACAGGGTTAGTATTGAAAGCAAAACCCAAAAGACTGCTTAGAAATAAAATTAAAAGCACAATTTGGCATAAAGAGATAGACATATACATAGATAATTACACCTACAGAGACATACCTTTGCTTTTTTCCTCTTTCACTAGGAACAAATAATATTGCATTACCTGTCCTCTTCCCTTTTGTTCTACCTTCCAATTCTCATATCTCTAAGAAACATTTAGGAAATAATTGATACTGTATTATACTCAGCTACATGTTATGTATAATTCTAAAAATCCAGGATGTCTAAGGTCTGGAGGTTGGCACTCTTGGCTTAGAAAACTCCCTACTTCAGTCACAATTGGATATTTATTATCAAATTACATTCTCTAGTTTCACCCTTTACCTACTGGTTCTAGTCCGCCCTCTTAGAATGTTCTTTCTACTTGGAGTATACTCACTTAGATTGACGTATCACATGTCTACTAATGGAAGCATGAGATGCATTTCTGAAAACCACATCATTCTATCTCTAAGTGTTTCCAGGCACTTTGCCCAGGATAATGTTGTATCTGTTAGAAAATTACCAAGCATGGCCATCGCAAGCCAAAACTAAAATTGCTCTTTGGCCCTCATCTTGCACAGTAAAATTATTCTAATTTCCTATCACTGCGTGTTCCTGATTCTAGACTTCAATTTGAGCACATCCTTCTTCGATTGCATTGATATAATAATCTCATATTCTCAGCTTTTCTTATATTACTCAATGTTTGTCTAATCTTCCATCACACGGGCAATCACATATAAAATGTATTACACAGTGCTCAATTTTCAGCTGAACTGCACATGGGCAGCATTAATCTGTGGCGTTATCAGGAAGGAACCCTATCTATGAACTGAATCAAGTGGGCTCATCTTTAATAAAGCCTCATGGGCTGTACTTTCCTTCTCACAAACCCTTGGTGTGCAGGCTGCACCAGGCTGCCCTTTGGCCTGTCTTACTCCATGTGGACTAATTGTAGGTACTATTCACAGACAGCAGACCAGTTACATTAACTGCTGCTGTCCAACATACAGACACACAGGGAGGTTGAAATGCTGAGCCGTCATATGGTGGAGGCAGGGTTACAATGAAACAGTGAGAAAAAAAAAGACAAATACAAGCAAATAATATAAATACAAAATGAGGTAAAACTGGTAAAAAAATGTCCAATACATTTCAAGAATTTAAATTCAGTTTGTAAATAACAATTTTTCTCTGTTTTGTCTTCAGACTAGCAGCTCGTTATCCATTACTTCAGTACCCAGCAAGGCAAACAGATGTTTCCTGACAGATCAAAAGTTGCAGAATGCCTGGAAGCTGTACAGTTAGCTCAGATCGGTTGCTTAGCTGCACTAAATATAGCAATGGGTAAGGGTGACTGACTGGGGTAGGATGAGAGGCGGATGAGTTATCCAGGAGCATTATGTGGCAGTGTAGTTCATCACACCTAACACATGTTGATTTTAGTACATACAATTAAGTACAATTCCCATTAAACTCTGCACCTTGTATGGACATGCTAGTGGCATTTCTCTTCTTCAATATATATTTAGAGCTACAAAATACATTTCCCAGGATGCTCCTGGGTAACCCATCCACCATCCACAATTTATTGCTATATTTAGGGTGCAATCTGACTCTCTCAGTCAATGAGCCTGCCCTACACTTATGGAAGGTCCATCCTAGAAAGGATATTTCCACCTATCTGTGAAGTTAGTGACTGGTACCTGGTGGGATGGGATCAGGGCACTCCTAGTACCATGACCACTACAGTTGGTTGTTTCTTTAATAAAGTATTTTGCCGGATTAATGCTATAGATTAATGCTATATCTTTTGGGGAATGCTGATATTGTCTGAATAGGTGTATATGGAAGAACATATCTATGTGGGTGTGTGTTTCTACACCGGGGAAAAGAGGACTTGGCCAGTGGTTTCTAATTCCCTGGTAACATTATTTGGAGACCCTGATCATTCTGACATTGCTTGGACATTCAGTAGACACACACATGTGTTTGTCAAAAAAGGGAGCAAAAACTTTCTTTAAATAAATGTGAGTGCAGGGGAGAGTTCACCTTGGACCAAACCTCTGCTCTGTCTGGCAGTGAACAGATTTTGCTGAAGGTTGCAAAATAATATTTCAGCAGTGTCAACATGTCCTGCGTCTTGCGTTATCATAATGGCACTCTACTGGATAAGAGCCAGGAAATGTGCACATAGGGAAAAAAAAACTAACAAAATACAACACACATCCTGGAAAATGAGAATCATTGTAACCTGTCCTCAATAAACAGGTTGGGGCTCATTAGTAGCACGCTGAGCCTGAAAATTACATTTATTGTGACAGTATATCAGCTTATATACAGTCTGTCACAAAATAAAAAAAGAGAGCAGCAATCCAGGAACAGGAGCAGGTTAGCATCTTTCATAGTGGGAACCGTCTTCTCTACTAATTAGGAAACATGAATATTAATTCACTCACAATGATTTCCTCAACAAACATAAAGACCACCAACCTGACATGCACTAGCACTCAGTAAATGCGCTATATAGAACTGACATACTTGGTGTATATTACCGCCAACAGATCTTGGCATTTAGAAGGCTGTTACTATAAGTGGAGCTGCAGGAATAACTTAGAATCCATAGATGTTCTGTAGGTTTACTGCAAATAGTCCGACCAATTGAGAAAGCCGAACGGAATCGGCGAAACGCGTTTTGGACTCACCTATATACTGTATGTATCATATTTATTTTAAATTGAATGTAATAAATATTACCTTTTATTCAATACACGTATATCTGGTGCATCTTCCATCCTGCTAAAGAGGGAAGGAGTCATCCCAAAAGGACTCATATGCCTATTTACTTAGAGCCAAGTCATAGGCTCTAATTCAGGTGAGAAGCAACCTTCACCATTATATGCATGTTTATATATTGCTGTTTTAAGGATCTCAACACCAGGGCGAGTTTTCCCTGTTCTCCCTCTCTTTGTTTTTGAGGAGTATATTCCATTTGGACTCAAGGGTTGTATGCAACCTTAAAGATACAAGACAAGAGAGATTTGAGCCAAATTCCTAATAGGCTCTGGACTACCTACACAATACTTTCTACACCCCTAAGAACTCTGGGGAGTAAGTTAATATTATAGCGCTACACATTTTCACTATTACACACTGGTTGTGCAAATAGTGTATTGTTTCACATTCTATTCACAATAGGATTGGAGAATTCCTATTTTTTGTGTGAGAGCTGCTGGATCAAAAAAGAGCACTTATAATCTGTTTTAAGCGCCTGTTGAACACAGAATATTTTGTTATTGTTAATTACTGCAAATAGTGCCTATATAACAGTCACTTTCTCTGTACTGTCCCTTATTGCTTTCCCATCCAGAGATAATTTTCTATAAGGCTGAGTGGACTATCATTCTGCTGCAGCAAGGGTTTATTCGATATTACCTTCGTCCTATCAAGGATGTGGTCTAAAGAAGACTAAAGTGCCAATGCAATTTTCTTTAAATTACTACTAATCCCACCCATTCTGCCTATCCTGTCAGAATGTCTCCAGATATATTAATTAACATAACATGACAGGATGACATGATGGAGTTTGCTGGTTACAAACACTTTTGATGCAGTCGTTCGTATACAATTTGTTAGAGTCCCTTTGCTTACATTTTCTGAAAGAGACCCTTGTTAAAGAAGAAAAATGGTCTCCCTAGGCTATGCAATAATCAATACAGTTTTTACATGATAGGTAAAATATATAATACATGGTGCATTTTCAGAGATATATAGAATCTGTTTATTTGGAAGATATATGTATTTATATATATACACACACAGTATCTCACAAAAGTGAGTACACCGCTCACAGTTTTGTAAATATTTTATTATCTTTTCATGTGGCAACACTGAAGAAATGACACTCTGCTATAATGTAAAGTAGTAAGTGTACAGCCTGTATAACAGTGTACATTTACTGTCCCCTCAAAATAACTCAACACACAGTCATTAATGTCTCAACAAAAGTGAGTACACCTCTAAGTGGAAATGTCCAAATAGGGCCCAATTAGCCATTTTCCCTCCAGTGTCATGTGACTCGTTAGTGTTACAAGATGTGAATAGGGATTAGGTGTGTTAAATTTGGTGCTATCGCTCTCATATTCTCTCATAATGGTCACTGGAAGTTCAACATGGCAACTCATGGCAAAGCACTCTCTGAGAACCTCAAAAAAAAAAGAATTGTTGCTCTACATAAAGATGGCCCAGGCCAGGGGTAGGCAACCTACGGCACTAGTGCCATGCACGGCACTCAAGGTGTCTTTGCACGGCACTCAAGGATGCTAGAGGCAAACAGGCTCTGGCCTATCAGGAGTCCCAGTGAAACTTCAGATATATGCTAATACGAAAAGGTGGTGAAGGACAACCCTCAATTTATGCATTGCAGCACATAGCGTAAGTGATCTCAGGTCACTTCCTCCCAGCACTTGTGAATGGGAATCCACACTGTGGTAGAGCAGCCCACAGCGGATATTGCAGCTCCTGCCCTTCACCTGTACCTGGCCAGCCTGGTCTCCACTGGAACCCATGGAAGGCACCCACACTGCTAGATTTACACAGAAATGCACAATAACCCTCCCCTCATACAAATAATAAGAACAGCCCACAAACAAACATACACACAATCAGCAAAAACGTAACCCGCTAACAATCCACATACATGCACACAACCCCACATGCAGCCTCTCACATGCAATACCCCAAACAGCCCCACACATACACACACTATCAAACACACAATGTGACATATCCATCCACACACACAATTCCACAAGCAGCCCCCATACACAACCCACATTCATATGTATCATACACGATAC